ACACGCACACACACAGACACGCACAAATTTAGGAATGTCGCGTCGACTGTGCCAAAACGAAAATATCTCCGGTAGAGGATTACATAAAGAAAATGTTCCACGGTAGAAAAATATCTTGGCCCCTTTGGTTGTCGCTTAGAAACTGCTAAAAAACAAAAAAATATTACATTATTATACGGAAGTCGGCGACGCACGAGATAACTAAATAAATATAGGGCATCAGCAATTTCACGGACCAGCTAATTTTAGCTTAGATGCGGAGCTGAGAAGGTGTTGTTTTTACAAAGATGTGTTGTTGTTTTTTATTTTTGTGTCTGGACTCGCGAGCCACAATTCTACAGATCAAAAACCGTACCTAAAAGGTACTTTATTGGACTAAAAATTAAAAAACTCACCTCTCTTCCTTCAAAAACACCTAAAAAATGTACATAGTTTTCAACTTAACATAACGATGCTCTATGACTTTTTTAAAAATAGACCAATTAGTTCCAAATTTGTGTGGAATACTAGTACTACTGATGAAACCAATAAAAAAGAAAAATCACCTCTTACACACCTCATACAACCTTTCCCTATAAGGCATAGAAATATTTTTGGGATTTAGGTCTAAAAATTAGACCTAGAGTGGGACATATACAATTTTCTCAAATTTTTTTTTTAAGGAAAACTCAAAAAACAGGGGAAAATTACACTTTGACCGTAGTCAATTTCCAGATTGCTATGTGTGATTGAAACAACAGTCAACAGGTAATGAAAATATTTTCATTCTATTGATGATTACCGTATATGAGTAACTCACTGTACTGGATTTTTTTTATGGTGACATAATAATACCATTAAAAAAATGACTCGTGGAAAACTTTGTTGGTTTTTATCGTACAAAATACAATTTTAAGGTCATTGTTTTTTCCCCCTTTGATAACAACATTATATGGGGTTGGTTAGGTTACTACTCTGAACTTTTGAAATTTAAATGCTAAAGTATACAATGTACTTTGTTTTTTTTTTAAAGAAACAATAATATGCAGAACATTTTTACTGGTCGATAACTGGTTGTAAACAATAATACTTTAAAAATGATTTAAGTTTATAATTTAGGACGGACAAAGGGACGGGTGGGGTGTAGTATAATTTTTATCTTTGTGCATTACTCAACAAAATAATAATTATCTTTTTACTTTAAACTCAAAAATAACTTCAAATGTAATTATTATTATTTATTAAAAACCGGTTACCGACCAGTCAACCTTTTCGGTATATTATTATTAATATAAAATACTTATTAAATGTATTGAGGGTTTAAAAGAAAACCCTTCCACGTTAAAAAAAGGTCGTCATACCACAGTTATTCTACCAATCCTTAAACGTGTGTATTTTTTTTTACAAAATAGTATAAAATCCATTTATTAGTGGGTATAATTCCAGAATTGCAGACTATGAGTCTGGAATATTTATATTAAAAAAAAATTTAAAAACTGAATAACTTTTATAAATACAATTATAAACAATTTAGTGTTCTATCTTATTAACAAAAACAAATTTAATAATAATACATATTGTTTTGGTGGATTCCACGATAATTGCAATTTGTTGTGGTTGGTTTAAAAAAAAAAATTAAATTTTAGTTTGGCAAATGTAAATGTTTACCTAAAAGACATTTATAAATTTGACAAAGAGTCATTTTTGCCAAAACATAATGACTTGTGTCGTTTTTGAAATGAATGACTAAATATTGTAAAAAGGTAAAAACGAGTTAGGCAAGTTGCTATTAGTAGATAGCCCATGGCGTTATGAGTAATAGTAACCGATAACCAAAAATGGAAAATTGGTTGCCAAAAATGTTTACAGCGTGGTTTATCTTTGTGTGTACGTTTGATCTATGGCTGTACCGTATCGTTTGAAGTTCTTAATAAGTCTAAATATTATAACTATCAACAGTCGAGTGAGTAAGTAGTTGTTTGTTAAAACTTGTGATAATTATAAAGCGTTAAATTTTGTTGTTAATATTTGTAAAAAAATATTGAATTTTATTTGCCCAAATTGGTTGAAAATTTCCCCGTTTGAGCCTAATTATTTTAACACAAGAGGAAGTCATATGACTAACAGTTACCTCTTATTGATTATGTATATAAAAAAACAATCATTATAATTTACTACTGTAATTTCAGGCAAACAAATCAATATCTTTTACAAAACTGATATTGGACCAGCTAAAGCGTTTTTTAACACCAAAATGGCTATGGCTCCTAAGAAAATGTATACGTTAAAAATAATACTCTGAATCTTGTACAATTTAACTTTAATTATAAATTGACATAGTTCTCATGATTCTCATTTTAGTTTTCATTAATCTTTATTTATCTACCGCATTGAACATCATTCGCTTGTATAATATATTAGGTCTAGTATTTTCTCGGTTGAAATTTCAAACTAGATTCATATTAATATGTTTTTTTTTATTGTTTGACGGTGAAACTTGTTTTTTCTGGAAATAATTTGTCGTCCGTTCCTAATTACCCACCGTTCCTCTCAGTTATTTTAATCATAGCGATTCCACATGCCTGGCAACAACTGGCAATGGACCATGTGATACATTTCGAATCTGTGTAGGGTCATCGAACTTAAAATTACATGTCCTTAACCCTTTACGGCCTTAAGCTGTTTAATACAAAATTTATCGATCGTAAATGTCCTGGGTGGCCGATAGGTTAAATTTTCGTTATAAATTGCAATTTTAATGGTAAACACATAAAAAACGCGTGTCTGGCTAAAATATATAATCCATTCGCCGCAAAAAAAAAAATGAAACAATAACTCTGTCTAACAAAATGTTTAATGGTAAAAAGATATTTTCCTTGGCTTTGATATAAGATAATATACAGGTAGACCAGATTTCATTTGAATTCGAAAAAAAATCTGTGTGTGTTAAATGTTATAAATGCTTAATTTTCAATTTTCTCTCAAACTATAAGAGACAGAAAGTTAATTCCAAGCTCATTAAAAAAAGCTTGTCAACAAGATACAGAATATGAATTATAAATATTTAAAAATAAATGATTTAAGTTTGTTGCAATTACAAAAAATTGTCAGTTTTAGCTAAATTTAGCTTTTTTCTCTGAAACCGATAAACGGATTTTGTTATTTAGCATCTTATTAGAATCACATTGGCATGTAGAAGTGCAGTGAAGAGTTTCAGAACTTTATCTGATATATTACATTCAGACCTTTGAAGGCGTACATCATAAAAACACATTTTTTCACCTAAATTTTCATACTTTTCTAATTAATTGCTTAACTATAATTCATGTATTTTATATGTCTCGGGAAATTAAAAATCAATAAGTCTACATGCCGTACTCGACTTGACAAGCATTTTATTTTGAAGAAAGTACTTATTGTCGAATACTCACGAGTTACTGTGTCGAGTAATGACTTTCTTAAACAATTCGACGTTAACCTTTCCTTGCTTTAAATAGGGGTTTAGCCAGTTTTACAACTTGTTTATTTACCTATATATATATAAGGATATGGTAGCGATGATTTAAGTGTGTTATTGTTAATGCGTTGACGTCGGAAACCTGTTCTACTCCATTTACGGGCTTTGTCCTTCTAAATGCTCTCTTACAAATCTCATACTAATACAATATTACAACTAGGTATGTCATACTTTAACGGTATTTAACGGTGTGGACGGTACTTAACCGTCGATAGAGACTATATAGGTACGTTATGACGGAATCCATTTGCATTACGTTTGGGAAAAGTTGTTTTTTTTTTCATAAAGCAAATGGTTGTTATCACTTTTGTAACATACCAATGCCAGTAAAAAAATTACAGTGGGTACAATCACAAAATTGGAACACACCTTTGTAAATTTTTAATTATGTCATTTTTTTAGTGGGCTATTTATGTTTGATTTTAGTTGTGCTTCTTTATCTCTTAGTGTGGCCGGCCAATTATTTTTGATAGCTGAACCACATAACCGTTTATTACTTAGTGCTTTATTAACAATTGATGAAAATATATTTATTTAAAGGTTGTTAATTAAGAAGTACCGAAACAAAGGCAAACTAATCGACGATAGTTCAGAAAAAAAATACAAAATGACTAATTACAATATTTCTGTTTTTATAATATTATGTTAATTTATAATTTTTTTTTACTATATCTAGACTCTAGAGTATGTAAAAACAGTATTCGAGTATATTGTAAAGTTATTTTTAAACGATATTGGTAACCACTGGTACTATTATGTTGCCGTATGGCACTTGACAAAAGGACTAAATTAGTGTAGACCTTAGATGGATAGAAATGTTCTGTACAAAGCCTCGTGTTTACCATCTATGTAGTCAATATGGCCGAGCAAACTTATAGCAAGTCATTTTTAACTAATGTGAAATACTAAACGTTATTTTCTTCTCCTAAAAAATTTACCAGTTTGGTAATAATACAAAATGCATTCATTAATAATACCAGAATTGCAGACTATGAGTCCGGAATAGTAACTATGACAAAATGTGTTAAAACTTAATAACTTTTATACATATAACATAATAAAATCGCATCGAGAAATTAGTGATTTAATCACTTTCAATTGTAATAATTCATATATTATCAATTTGTAGCCCAAGATGGTAAAAATTGTAAATGGATAGAAAATATAGACAAAAATCAATAGGTTACACCATCTATGATTTTTCATATGTACTAATTTGTTCAGCAGTGTGTTATTGTAGTAGTATTACATTGATTTGAATGGACCAAATACACTTAGTGCGCCTGTCTGGATGTTTAAGTTTGTAACAGAATTGTCCCATGATGCTATTGTAGGGTCAAATCTGTGACCTCCCCTGCCGCCACGAGCCCACTGTCTTTGGCTTTTTGTTATGGTTATTCGAGAAATCAATGTCGATGAATTTTTTCCGAATAGAACACTTCATGTTCAGTTGACCATTGTTTTAGTACGTCTCTAATTATTATTTGCGTTTTTATTTTTCCAGGTAAACGTTGCAGGTCGTCGTCGTTACCTTCACCGGTGGTACATATGATGGCGGGCGTAAACAGCGTAAGTACTTATGACGATAACGAACCGGACAGTTTGAGTGATTCGCCCGAGCGCACTAACAAAGCTGACGATGATTCGGACGACAAAGACAGCGGCGACGACGGTTCGTTGCAGGGCGACATCGACACCGAGCTGTCGAGACGTTTGCACCAGAGCGAAACGTTGTTGGCCGCAGAGTCCGTCCACGGTGCCACGCTCGACGCTGCGGAGGACGGCCATTTCGCGGACCTCGAACAGTTGAGCAACAGCAACAGCGGGTACCAAATGCAAAGAGACTCTACCGAGCTGTTGCTGTTGTCGGAGAAACACCACGCCGGAGAGACCGGCAGCGACAGGGGATCGGGCTCGGAGGCGGCGGCGCCGGTGGACAAGTCCGACCTGGACAACGACGGACCGTTGTCGGACAACACGAGCAGCGGTTTCGAGGACGGTCCGACCGGTGGGTTGGTGGCCGTCGACGGCAGCGATGCCGATCGACCGTGTACAGAACCGTCGCTGGAACAACCGCCCCGTGTGTTCACCAGGCCCGTCCCTGCCGACGAAACGGACAACGTAACCGAACTGGTGTTCGACACGTGGACCACCGTTGACGAGCCGACGACACAACTCCATGATCAAAAAGATCCTGCTGATTTACAACAAGAGTCTGCCGAGCTGCTGGACATCAGCGCCGCTGCTGCTTCCGATAACCAAGAGTGTTTTGAAATTAACGCGCCAGCCATAACTAACAGTGTTGTTGTGAGTGTTTTTCGTTTTTCCAATGCTAACATCATTGATCGTTTATCGTTGTGTGTTCGACATGGGCGCAATTTCACTTAAAACGCCTCGTTGGGATTTTCCCCTCGAAGGGAATTATGCATATGTCTATATTTTAATAAAACCAGACAAACCTCCCTTTCCCTCTCTACTATTCACTCTGGTCATCTTCTCCATCCCAGTCAGCACTTCTCCCCTTCTCACGTTTTCTTTCTCCTACACTCAATTTTCTCTAACCTAACATTACCTTAATTCATTTCTCTTATTCTCTCACCACACTTTCTATTTCCTCTGCCCACTTGACGCTCTTCTCTAGTTGGGGGCGGTGCAAAAACACGAACAAAGTTGAATTCCTCTTTCTATATTACTTAAGTCACAACGATGTTAGGGTTGCTAAGCTCACCCCCCTCCCCTTTTAATTTAATCCCCTCCCGAATTGCGCCTGTGTGGTTCAGACGTTTAAACAGGACTAAATCGTGCGAGGTCCGGTTTATCAGTAGTATATTTAACTGACGGTTCAAATAAACTCCCCGTTAAACCGTTTATCAGCACTAGAACCAACGCTAACCGATAAACCGGTGGTTTATCCACTGAATAACGACTTTAACGACATCTATAAAATAACAAGGAAATCTTTCCCTTGGAAGAAGGACGTAAGATCATGAATATGTCTTATGATCAGCTGATTTTCCTTCTCTTTTCAACTGATCCTCTTATCCGTTATCCATAAAATTATAGTTTTTTTCCGTATCACCAATCTATTGCACTTCAGCCACACTTTAAACCTGAATTTAAACACAAATAAATATAGTTATGAAAAGTAAAAATGTATTTTAGTAAAGAAAAATGTAATTAACAATTAAAAAAATTTTTTAAATAAAATTGTGTAACTATCAACGATAGAATTGTTTATAAAACTATTGTGATTTAATCTAACAGTTTGGTAAACTACAACTGATAAACCTGGCCTTAAAATTAAAATGCATGAAATAAAAAGAGAAATATTAGGGCAAACAATTAATTAGCGTTAATCGTTAATTTATTTATAACGTCTATTAAAACTTATGAAAAGAACGTCGAATTTTTCTTTTTAGTATCACATCATTATAGTTTTTAGTCATAACCAGGTAATAATAATTGCTATGATACGTTGCGTGGGTGTGCATGACTAAAATGCATGTTTATTTTATGACTGCTATTTGTGCAATTATTGTGTGTGTGTGTGTTCGTTTTGTGGTTAACCGTTGTAAAAAAAAAAAAAAAAATGATAATATTTTTATGTATGTGTAATATTGTTTATTATGTCAGTTTGGAAACGTCGAAAATAGAGTATTGATACACTACTCAAGTCAACAAGGACGATGGTCGAGTAGCGTAAAAAATGATTGGGACCGGATATATGGCCCTCCAAATACTATCAAATAGGTTGCATTGTTCTCCTACCACTGATAACTGTGCGTTCGTTACGTTCAGCTTGGTGCAATAATTGTTGACATTTCAAAATCCGTTTGTTGCTTTAACTGTCGGTGGTTGGATAAAACTAGACACTTACATTATCATCAATATTTCTGTTGGCTAAGTCTCTACAATGGGCTTGCTACACTCCTTCGACAACGACAAGTCAGTCGGGCCTGATTGGTTTGCCCGTTGGCTTTTTGTACTACTTCGGGGAAGTATTATTATCCTTTCGTCTATTTATTCCGTTTCGGAAGTCACTATAAATGAAGACGCTTTTCCTAGCCTTCTGTGGAAAATGATCATCATTAAAATTAAAAAAAATATATATTTAAAAATTCTACTGTATTGCGAAATACATATTATTTGAAAACTTTTTCAAGAACAGCTACAAAAACAGTAGAACTGTTCTTGAGAGAAATTAAGTGTCTCGCTCAACTCGGTGGCCGTTTCAGTCTTTGGTGTGTCGTTTTTTTTTTTAGGAATCTTTATTTTTTTTTTCCAACCGGCGATTACTACGGTTTTAATTAAACTCGACGACTACCGTCGTTGTTGTACTTAGTGCATATTATATTTTAGTGTAAATCCGTTAACGCCATTCCACGAAGACAATAATTATTGTCTACGGCGTTTGGACATTTTAATTGGAATCCCGGTTAAAAGAGTCGTAATTGTATGTAATTATTATTATTGTTTTTGCTACCATGGAATGGTTAATGCGTTTTTTTAGCTGTCGTTGCGTTTTTCATATTATCCACCCTATGCTAGGGTTTCGCGTCGTCCGTTTTAATTTAGAGCTTCAACAACTGGGCAGGGGGGGGGGAGTGATTCGTTAAGAATAAGACCGCTCATTTTCTCTTAAAATGATTGCAACGTGCAAGAAATGTTTTCAAAAAGAAACACTACAAAATTGCAATTATTTTAAGAGCTATTGAGTGTCTTATCCAAAATGGACCACCCTGTAGAGTGAATACTCGTTAATGCAGTAATGAGGATTTTTTTATTGGTTGTTTTTTTTTATCACATTCGATTCTATAGAAAAAGAGAACCATTTGTGAACAAAAAGAAGGCATTGAATTTTTTTTATCTTACAAAAAATGAAGAGTTAAATGGTGTTTTGTTAGAATCCGATTTTGAAAATAGTACCAAAAACCGAGCATTACCGGCTTAGCAAAAAAAACATAGTATAGTGCCTATTATACATTTGCATAAACGGTAGAAAATAATTACAATTATTGTTAAACTATAATTCCAACAATGCGCGGTAGTACTTATCATCAAACTCTCCACTTGGACCAATCTTATTTTTATTGGTTTTTTCAACACAACGATCTCCCTTTGGGGCCGACCGTCGATTGTATAATATTATTGTGTGTACGATTTTCTTATGCATCGTTGTTTTATACACATACAATATAATAATAATAATATGTACACTGTGGAAACCACCGGCAGTGTAATATACTCGACGACACGACGATGTATGCTTGTCCGAATCCACACAGACACACACGGCTGTCGTCACGGTGTTCTTCCCCTATTGTCCTTAATACGCGCCATTGTGCTTCTCGTACCTCTTCTAGCAACACGGCAGACTCGACAAATTCTAGTATACAATAATAACATACATTATTATGATACGGCTGCTTGTCCCGCGACCAGGTTTACCCGTTGAAATTCATGTATGGCTCGTGCATTTCATTTTTTTTTCCACACATGCGTTCGCGCAGGAAGTGCCGGCAAACGACAATTAATGTTTGTTATCAGATGTGTAGTTGTATGCGATTATGAATGGGATGGGTTCAAATAACCTGGGAGTACCTACTGGAAAGGTAGGGGCGTCTTTGAATGGAAATTTTTCGAAAACATTGTGCAACATCTAAAAGTGTCTTCTTCAGTTTGCTAAAAAGAAACGTTTCAGCTACAATAGTATCGCTGGGATACTAGTCTAGTTTTTTTATCCGACGGGTACACATGTATACATTTCTTGAATTTTAACTTCGGTTCATTGGTCTGCTTAGAACCGCTGTGCCTTGAAATTTTTTCTTGGAACTATACTTGGAACATCTCGAAATTGGCCACTTTGTATTGCTGCCCAATCGTCAACATAAGGCTAGTTATTTGTACCTTGATACATCTTGGCTTTCGTTAGAAAGAACGGAAAAGAAACCTGCATTTGTATAACAATCCCACATAGTTCAATCGGTTCGACTTGAATAGACAGTGACGTGTACATTGCTATCAAAAGTTTGAAACGAAAGATGTCCCCGACTCAACTCAAAGCTTGGATTACTTTTGTCAATTTTCTCCCTTCCCCCATACCTCTTAGTTTCTAATTATTCATTGACACCAGAGTAATTTATTAGGTAATAAAATTGATGAACATAAAAAAAACGCTCTGGCATCGTGGGCCACTAGCAGTTGAGAACCTCAACTCTGACCTATAACGTCCTTTTTTTACTTTTGCCTGGGAAAGAAAGAAAGTCTTTAGTCACTTACCTGAAACTAGTACGTCTTGGAAGAGATCCACGGTTCTTGGAATACTTTAATCGTAACACCTAATAAAACTATTGGAAAAAACCTATTGGAACCTGAAAGTTTTAGTATCAACTGAGTCTCACTCCAAAAGAGAAGGAAGAAGAAGTAGGCTGGTTATTTTGGTGACAAAAAAAAAACCGAAACTAGTTTTTAAGAGTGATATAAATTTATAATATTCGACAATATAACGTTTTGGAAATAAGTCAATGTTATCTAGGGAAAAGGGTACACTCCTCCCCCATCCCTCTTTGTCACTAGGTACTCCTGTGTTTGTCGTATACCGAACGACCACCGATATCGTCGTGTCTTGATTTAATATAACATGTGTTTTTGGCAGGCCGAAGTAGTGTCGGAGAGGACTACGGAACAGCGCAAGACCGTGAAGAAAAAGTCTTCTACCGTCAACGGCGAGTCGGCCGCGACCGCGGTGGTCAAGTCGAAAAAAACGAAAAAATCGAAAAAGTCCGACGAGAAAGAAAACATATCAGTCGTGAGTTCAAAATGATATAAAAAAAAAATACACCTAGTGTGTTTGTGTGTGTGTGTGTGTTTTATCCAATTAACCGTTTCCTCTACCTGTTGAATATAACAACAATGCGCACATAATATTACCATGTTGCTCAATTAAACATAACAGTTTATTGTCTATCCTCGCTGTCTCCGTGTGAAAGTCAAATCCCGTTGTTCGTCTGCAAAGTATGTAACGCTCTGTGATGTTTTACCGTTCGGTTTGGACAGAACGTTTTATATTTCGTTGAAATTATACCGAGAAACAAACGACCGTCGTTTATATTAGTGTTGATTATAGCGGGTCGAACCGGAGTGGACAAACGACACAGTAGGATCATAACGCAATCCTAGGAACATTTTGACAGTAATCGAACCAAAGCCGGCCGTGTAAACACTAACTCAGCATGGAAGATAGTCGGGATCATTGGCGCAACTAGAGAGGCCGTTTAGACTTTAAAAAGAAGTCTGAAAGCTCCTTCAGAATTTCGGTAAAAATTATAACCTTACACCTTACTCGTGGGGACTGTGTCTGATTGGTCGCTGACATTTTTTTAGCGCCTGAACAAAATTAGAAGGATTGGAACTTCCCTAGCCCCCCTTTAGTTGCGCCAGTGATCAAGATTTGGCACATGTTTTTGCGGTTAAAAGCCCTTTGGTCTCTGCGGTAGTGGTGTTCTTGTGGCGATCAATGTCTCGGATCGTTTAAGTCCGTAAACACCGCTGATTAGATGCTATTTAAAAGAGCAAAATACGTGCCTATACAGAGTGTGTGTAGTAGTGTGTAGAACCGACGACGACGACCTACAGACGGTTTACGCAATCCTAGGCGCTTCGCTGGACCTCCCACACGCACAACTGTCTATTTATGGCATAACGCAGACCTTCTTTATGCATATCCAGTCGCCGTGTGTTATTAACGTGTATTGTTGTACAAACTGACCTTTCACGTCCTGAAAAACTCCTAATTGGCATAATAGTTTGTAACGAGCTGACACGAAAATACTCGTATCCGAATGTTTGAACGGTTCGTACATTTTGTGTGAACTATTCGTGAATTTGTGTACCATTTGCCACGAGCCGTTGTCGTTATATTTGGCACGTCTAAAAAATTGTTCATTTAGAGTGTATTCTGGTCAACAAAATGTGTCAATCGGGCAATCATTAATATGCTTCAGTAACAAAGGTAAACGCATGAATATCAATAGCCGTTACCTCACACACCGTGGCTTTTACCGAGGAGTATAGCTTAACCTTTTGCAAAGCCGCTCCTGATGTAGTAACGGGTCGTTTGAAAAAAACATCCTAATACTCTATACGGTAGCGGTGTCTATTAAATGATGATTTTTGAAGAAATACCTTATTTGATCCACAGTTGAAATTATTGGGGGGTCATATTTTAGATGTTTTCACATGACATTGATACCTTCTCAGCCCTGTCAATTTTTTTGAATTTACCGGCCGTGCATGCGGTTGTTTGTCACTCTCCTGTCAATCATAAATCATACCACGAAAGGAATTTCATCCTGTAACCCTTTAGTGATGATTGTAACAGAAATGCCAAATGTTTATTACATAATCATTTTATTTTGTAAGAAAAAATACATTCTTGTGGCTTGGGTCTAGAAGGGCCAATCTGAAATTTTGGTCGAAATAAGTTAGAAACATAGTATATGTTTATATACATCATTAAACGCTATATCCAGTCCAACAAAAATTGTAGTTCTTAATTTATTATTTAAAAAGTTGTAATTATTAAGAGTGTATAAAACTTGACATTGGACATCACAGGCCATTCGGATACGTGTATTCGCGTACTCGTCAACAGCGTATATCTAGTTTAATCTACCCCCCCCCCCCAGGCCGCATTGTGTGTTGTACATTGTATAATATCGCACCGTCGGTGCATGACTGCCACAACTCAAGTTTTGGATTTTATTATAGTTAAGGCCACAAACCTCGATTTCCGGCGTCTGGTTGAGATTTAACTGAATGTAGCTTAAAATTAAAACAACAGGCTGCGAGCAACGGTTTAATAATAATTGCAGTTTCAATCTGAAAAATAGAATTTTCTCGAAACCGTGTTTTTTGATTTGTGGCGATCTTGCACCGAGGGTAAGACGATATGGTTTTTTTTTTTTTTTGTTGCAATTTTTGTGTATTTGTGTGTGTGCGTGTGTGTGGCTTTTGTGTAGCACGTGAACGGTCATGCCGAGACCGATAATAATCGCGTGGCGGTGCTCCAGAAAAGCACGGGACAACTTTGCGACGAGTGTAAAGTCGAAGAGGACGACCTGTCCAACGTTTGCGTCCGAGATCTCGTAAGTATATAATATGACGTGTACCACCTTTGTGTGTGTGCGCAACACCTACTTGGCAAAAAGCATAATAACGATTTGCAAAAAAAAAATAACGCTTAAACGATCAGCCACCCTCCCACCCCACCTTTACACGTCTAGTTGTGGTGTTTGTTTTTGTCAATTAGCAGAGGTGTACCCTCTTCGCGGCGGCACAATGAAATATTATTTTTTCCCATCTCGTGTACCACATCAGCTCCACAATAATGGGGTCCGTTTGGGCGCGAGCATTTACATTGTCCGAGAATTAATTGGACGCCGTCCTTGAAATTCTCGTATATTTTCTATTGTATCTACTCTTCTAGTATAGTATTCTGAAATTAGTTTCCGAGTATATTATATACTTAATATATATATATATATATATATATACATGACGATGGACAAATACGTGTCGTCATATGTCGAGTCTTACTCTGTTTCCGAGAGAGAGAAAGAGAACTCTACAGCTGTTGCAGGTAGTAGCGACATCTCCACGTTCTTTCTCCCTTCGAGTCCACACTCTCGATAACCAAAAAAAAAAAAAAATTGAACGATAAAATCACAGAATAGTCGAAAGCGAAAGCACAGATTAAATAAAACCAGATTTTATAAACTTAACGCAGTAGGGCCGAATTATAATGCGGAAAATATTTTACTCGCACAATAATAACTTAAACTGATAAGAATTGCTGATAACAAGTAGTTGATTAACGAAGGTTGATGGTGATAGCTTTACAGATGCTTGATAACATTTCTTTGACCACACTGTGATTATTTTTTGTTGGTCACACTGGCCTGAGATTATTAGAGTTTGCTTACAATTTTCGAATTTTTTTAGAGTGCACTTATTTGGTTTTATTCAATCTGCTGCAGAAGGGTCACTTGCAATGTAAACAAAAAAATGTTGTAAAATCGATTTAATATTATGTGTTAAATTATCTATACACAACCGATAATAACTTTCTTGATTTTTAAATGGTAATTGAAATGAAAAAAAAATCGATGCTGATGTTTGATGTTGATGTTTTTTTAAAACTTTTTTTTAATAATAAACCTATTACACTATATTATTAATATAATAAAGTTAATAACGATAATAGTTTCATATATAAGGCCCGTTCTACTTGCGAACCCGTTTCACTCGGTCACGAGATACTACCATTGCGTCATCTCGGAAATATTACAATATTATCAGTATACTCTGAATGGAAAAAAAATATAAAACTGTATGTCACTTAACGCCAACATTGTTCTCGACGATTACTCATTTCATACGCAGTACTCGGTAGCAATTATTATCATTATAACACCTTTTAATTTATTGTAATTTCAATTGAAAAACACTTGAATAGCATTTTGTCCAATTCTATAAAAAAATGTTTTATCGATTTTATAAACATCCGTGTATAGTGTTTTAACATTTTTTTTAGATTTTTAAAACCATTTCTAGAGGTAGTTCTATATATTTTTTTTTTGTTCAATAAAAAATGTTTAAAAACAAAATCTTATATATGAAAATTATCAACATAAAAATATAAATAAATTTCGATACTCACTTGAACACACTGTATATATAAAAAAAAAAAATAAACCTCTCGTTTGGTAATCATAAACACAGAGATTAGAGGTTTATATTATTATTACAATTCAGCTTTCATCCAGACTCCGGGCGCCGGCCGCACACTTGTTCAAGACATTAAATGGATACAACCATATGTTTTTTTTTCTATCGACATTAAAAAAAAAAAACAATGCATTAGCCGTGACGGAAATTATGTGCCCAAAACGGAAGTCTATTAGTATTAGAAGCATTTATTATTATTATTATTGGCTACCGCTCCTTTGAACCGAATTTTGTGATCGAATTTCTTTGTGTACAGGGTGAACCAAACCATATTTACTTTTTATTGTTTTTCCGTACAACGCACCGCGGTACGTTGCGCTTAGGGTTAAAAAATGATTTGCTTGTTTTTTTCAGATTTTTTAAACGATAGTGATTTTAGTTTGTTAGTTTTTAACAAACAAATACACTACTATCTATTCTTGTTATAGTTTATTTTAAAAGGTTGAAAGTATTTTAAACTTATTTCTCTCAATAAACTTATTGCAAAGAAAACTGATATACTTTAGTGATAAATTATTCCTAAAATAGATTATATATAAAATAGATAGACTGTTTTTGATTTGAAAAAATAAGAAAAAACAAAAATCAAAAGTCTAATTTATTTTTATAAAAGTAATTATTTTTCTGATATTTCGAATTAATTTTTTTTCCAGAGATTTGGTTGCTTGTGTTTTTTGTGCACCTCTACAGCCTGGGCTGAGTACTGTTTTTGTACTTCTTTTTTGGTCAAAACTGGGTTGCTATAATTTTCTGTCAAAGTATTGTCGACCGTCCAACTTTAAACAGTCACTCTAGCTTTGATGAACACCTAATTGTCTCTATCTAAACGTACTGGGATTATTTTTCTCTGGAATATTCAAACATATATTCCTATTCACACAAAATGTCAATTTTTGACTTTTACTTTACTAATTACTATATTATGTATTTCATACTTAATTATCATGGCAATCGTGGAGCGGAGAAAATAACTAGTTTTTATTTTTTTTATATTTCTATGTATTTTATACTGTTTATCCGAGATTATTAATAGACGTGTCCCCTAAACCGTTACGTTTACTATTACTATTTATTATTTATTTATTACCTACATGTTTTTAATCTAATTGTACTTAACATCTATACAATTGACACCAGAAAGGTATACTGTATAGGCAACCGGATAAACAGGCAGTCAGCTTTGTTTTTTTTAATCTGTTTTAATACTAATTTATCACGCGAGCGCAGCAGTATTTTGTTCGCAATTAAATGAGGAATAAGTTTTAAAATATTTTCAACTCTTTAATCAAATATTTTCAGATATTGTTATAAGTATTAACTCAGTCAATAGCCATACTCTTGACGAAACGAAACAAGAGTAAGAATAACGTACTTACCTGTATCGTTTCTTGTCCGTGAATATTATGTTACTGTTGGAGACTTTAACGCTTAGAGCGTATATACGGTTATATATATACGACAATAATTGTCTATAATATTAAAATACCACGTTTGTACCTACGTACCTAGGTACAATACACAGACACTGCCGCTTGTTAATTGTGAATTCTGTTAGTTAAACGTTTATTGTATTTTTCGGGCTTGAGTGTAGTGTGTTTCGCACGGACATTCCTGTATTATAATATAAATATATATATATATATATTATATTAAAGCGAAATAATTAGTCAAGTTGAAAAATAAAATACTTATACATGACGTATCAACCGTGTGAAAACACACCAGGCTGGATTTTTAACTGGGTTTTTCAATTATATACATACGACCGTTTGTTGTTCACGTGAGAACACGAGATGGAATGCGCTGCTTGTGTCCGTCCAAAGGATAAATAATTAGCTTTTTAACCGTTTCGGGAATTGTTTTATTATTTTTTTTTAAGCTTTTGTCGTCAACACAGTGTGTTCATAGCGTTAGTTTTGTCCGCCATTGCGATTCCCAAAGGATTTCTCGACAATTACAATTTTTCCACTTGTTTTTTCACATTTTGTTTTGACACGAAGCCGTCTTAGTTTATTATTCTTTTTCAACCAGTATCAGAGTCTTGAACGACACACTTTGAGTGTTATTTTTTTATCAATACAAGTACTATGTTAAAATGTAAACAAAAATAATAGCCAGGACAGTTGTTAAAACTAAAAGTGATAAAATCATTTTCAAGGTAAATAGCAAATAGATATGATTTTCAATTAAGTCTAAGATACTCAATTTCTTTTAGGAAAATTGCATTATGGTAATTTCTCTTTTTGGAGATACTCCACCCTTCCTACCGCCACAAACTTTAATCTCTAATAACTTTGAAAGTAATTTTCAAAGACCTGGTTATCGACTAGCAAATTATTATTATTATTTTTTTTTTTTTAATAGCCTTTATTGGGAAATATGATCGCTTGACAATTACAAACGGCAAATTATTCGTAATTTAAAAAGTTAGTTAAATAAATACGTTATCATTTAAGTTTCAAAAAATTATAGAGCTCTGGTAAATATTTAGTAATTTTAAAATAACATAAACAAAAATGTTTTCAAATAGAAAAACTACAAAATTGCAATCGTTCTAAGAGAAAATTGAATGTAAAAACTTTCCCATTTATGGCACACTAGTACTGAATACACACTATTAGATTAATCATCAATTAAATTTTCAAACCCTAAACACCCTTTCTGGAGAATACAAAAATATTATAATAATCGATTAAATTCTACTTTTTCGGATAGTCATAGCGTGTGCCTTATTGTTTTGAGTTAACAAATATCATATTTTAATTTAACCTTGTAAACTAACGAGCCAATAATACTTGATCTGATTCGCATCATAGCTAAACATATCGACTAGTTCCGAACAATTATTGTTGGAAGTCAAAAGAAGAGGCGATGTCATTTCTAACTTGTATTGTTAATTGGAAATGCTTTTGTCTTGAAAAATAATTAGTCGAAACTGGTTAACGGCCGTTCATTGTTTTCATTGGAACATTATCATAGCAATGAAACATACACAAGCCATTTGATAATCAAAAGTCACCGGTAAAGGGGAAAGGCGAATTTCGCTGTAAATTATTGGGAAATTTAGGTGACTTCGTGTACATAAGAAAAACAAAAAAGGAATACTAATGAAATTGTAAGGGAAATCTACCAGGTCGTAGTTGGCCAATCGCCGCCCTATGTGAATGATCGCCCTGCTTTGTTGCTTTTGTATATTATTATTATCTTTACTATTTTTTTTTTTTAATATTACTATTGAGAACATGATTTGTTCACGCATATGTGTGTTATTGTGTTTGTATATTATTGTGTGTGTATGCTTTTGGCAGAAAAAAACCTACTGCGACGAAGCTAACCGAAAATCGTCTACCGTTATACCAGAAGAACCCGTGCCCGCTTCCGTTCCCATCGACGAACTGGTGAGTGAGAAACATTGCCAGCGCTTAGAATAAAAAAAAAAAAAAAATTAACTTATATAATACACACGGCCGTTTAAAAAGATTATACACTTACTAGTTATTTTTATTTTGTAATACTAAATTTTTGTTCAAAAAGACCGAATAAAAATATAGTGGGTTGCATTGACAATGATAATATAGTAGGTGAAAATCGCATTGCTCCGTCTACACCTCCCCCCCCTCTAACCAATTTGACCTAACTTAACTTTTTTTAAAATTAAAATTTAATTTTGTACTAGAATTCCTTGAACTCAATACCGGCTCTCCCGTTAGCCCTTAGACCCTTTCAGCCTCGTTACCCGGTTAGGTTCACACATATACAGGGTGATCTATCTGATGAAAGATTAATTTTCAATATATTCCCAAGATAATGCACACATAGAGTGAACCGCCGCCTAACGTTAGACAGTCATAAAATGTTAAAATTGTCTTTTAGAAAGTTAATTAAATGTATACGTTCCCGTTTAAGTTTCAAAAGTCGATAAGAGCTCTGGAAAATGATAAAACAAAAAGTTAAATAGTTGATCATTTTATAATATTGTAAAACAACATAATATAGACGATCCGTCCGCCAACTCACAAATACAAAACACAATAAAATGTATTCGGGTTAAATTATAATTTTAGAAGGATTTACCAGTCTTTTCCTTTATACTATTTTTGTGTATAATTAATTGTTTTTTTTTCGTTTTATCACAACGAGAACGGTTTACAGAAAACAATTGACTAGATGATAGAATTAGTTGCTTAATAATGTAAATTATACCAATTTTAAGAAACAGGGCACGTCGCAAATATGCTTGTCGTATACCTTCTGCGTGTAATGAGCTTAATTTGTTGTGAAGTAATTAGTAAAATATATATTCATCATCATTATTATTTTCCACGCACTATGTGTTTTAAATATGTATTTTAACACTGTTTCATTGAATTAAATACGATAATATTCAATTACATAATTGTCATAAAAGTATTCATTTCCCCAAAAAATGGCATCATGTTTCGAGGAAATCAATTTTTTTTTTAATTACAAAAATGTATAACTTATGTAACAAAATGACAAAAGCCGAATAATTTAAGCCGGAAAAGTATTTGTAACTGACAAATTACTAAATTTATTTATTCTAATATAATTTGTTTAAATGACTTATTCATCTTGCAATAAATAACTACATTATGTACATTAAGTTCATATTATTATTAGTATATTTTTATTGTTGTAAACGATAAATTATTTACACAGAAAAAAAATCCTAAAATTATAACTTTCAGGAAATGTATTTACAAGAGACTTAAACGTATTAAAAATACACACATAATTCGTTTTATAAAAAAAACTCCATGAATAAACACCAAAATTACTTAATACCGTCACTAGAAATAATATTATTTCAATAGCCACTCACTCACATCGATATAATTATTGAATTTATTTTTATTTGGTTTCTATTTTGAGAAACAAAAAAGTCTTTAAAATACTTCATAATTTATCTTGAGGGATTAAGGGTACTCAGATTTTTTAAAAATTTTATTTTCTTGAAGTATATTTATTTTTAAAGTAAAAAAAATTGTATTTTATTGGACGGATTCCAATGAAATGTCTACAGCACATTCTAGACACGAAAGACTAATGTGTTTAGTCAAAGGATTTTTTTTTTTGGGGATCAGTACTTTTTTTTATAAACAATAAACAAGCGCTTTTTTCCTTAAAATGCATACATTAACTTTCAGTAGCTACCAATTTGCTTAGTTTAGAAAAAAAAAACTTAAATTAAGCACTAGAATGAAGTGTTCAACTAAATTTTGTAAGAAAGCGTTCAAAAATCAATCGGATAACTTGATGCAGACTATTGTTTCGATATGAAATTTGTTGGAAAATTTTCTTGAAACGCATAGTTGTAAAAAGTTGGTATTTTATGTCAAACAAATAACACTATACAACATTTGAAAAAAAAAAAATTGTTTTAAATACCTACCTATTTTTCAACCCTCTGATTACCTCTCAAGTAAGGAACTATATAGGCGCACCGTGATACGGATTAGACTTTTTAGCATGGCGTACGATTTTTTTTGTGGCTATTTTGTTTTCAACGCTTTGATTTGCTGATTGTTTTTCTCTTTTATTTGTAAAGAAGCGGAATTTCGTGGGTGCCATCGACAGACAACCGTCGGAAAGCGCATTGACTAACGGTTGCTCGGTAAGTTCAATAATAATAATAATAATGTAAAATATATGTCAAACATGTCATGTCGCCGCTTTAGCTTCGCGCCAAATATGCACTTTACACATTATGTGCAACAAACATAACGCTTTCGGTCGTTGTATGGTCTATTTTTTTTAATTTTTTTTTTTATGTATATACATTTATTTTTTCTTGTACGTTGCTTAACACGCTGACACCAGACCCGGGGAAAGGCTATTATTAGACCGCCAACGCCATTGCCGATACACCAGTAAGTATATACTAATATGGGTCGGATGTTATATGACGTGCGATGGTTTAGGATTTGTCCAGATCGAATTACCGCCGGGTTTTTTTTATTTACCATCAAACGAACGTCCTAGTTTTGGAACTATTGCTGGACGTCCACTCCTCCCCCCCCCAAAAAAAAATAGCTAAACCAACCCGCAACTCGTGTGACCGTTTAAAGCCTAGGTATTCTGCCTAACCCGGGAAAACAATACGGGATGTTTAAAAATTCTCTTATCAGCTGATTCTCTTATCAATAATCTCTTATCTTTTGATATCGGTCGTCTCTTATCAGCTGATTCTTTTATCAGTTATCCGGGAATTGTGTAGATTTTCCCTTGTCACCATGACAAAGTAAATTAAATCACAGATGACGCTCTATGTAAGCAATGATTTTCGAATGGATGCCGCCATCTTCTCATTTGTCCTAAAATTACAATATCTATTACACGTCTAGTGTATGGAAATGACGTTATACGGTTTGATAAATGAGATAAGTGTTAAATGCACCGTGTTAAATTTTGAGAGTGTCCACCCCGTGTCGCCATTCCACCCCCACCTCAGCCGTGCTTATTGTTATCTCCTCCCCTCGCCCCAGAGGGGACATTCCCCTTTCCATGTGAAATTGAATTATATTTTATCCGTTTTCACCTTGTTTTTTTATTTGTTCATTACAATGTATGTAACAGTAAGCTGTATCTCTAAAACTGGAGCCGATCTCCAAACGAATTGATAAAAATATAATAAAAACACTGTACCAAATATGTCCTATATTGGGTCTAATTTGTGTCGCAACAAATAAAAAAAAAAATGTTGCCCTGTATAATAATTGGTAGATAGAGAGGAGGTGGTTGAGTAACATAATATTAAAAATGCTTTTCTATGTAACCATATATTACATATTTTGTACTTACCGTTGCCAGCAATACATAAAACGAGGTTGGATCTTATAATAATAATAATTAATACTTTAAAATTGCATTAAAATTAGAAAACGCGAGTCTAGATGGATAAGACAAGAGGGTGCTACTATCATATATGTATGTAAACGTATACTTGAACGTACATCACTTGTTGAGGTTATGTTGTTTAGATCATGTACAGTGTAAAATAGCCACACCACAATTACTGGTTAAATAATAAAATACAATCAAAAGACAAACCCACCTAACGTGATTTCATTGGCAAATCTCTCATAAGAATTGATCGCCAACATTTTTGACAACGATTACATAAAATTTAAACGATTTGGTGAACGATTAATTTCTGATTTTTTTTTTTTTAAATTATACAAACATAAATAATATAAATTTTACAAATTTATTGTAATTTTGTAATTAATTAAATCAACAACTTACTTATGTAGGTGATATGTATTTTAGATTTTATTCAGTAGAGATACTACGACCCCTCGATTTGTATGAGAATTTTTCAAAATATCAAGTGGCATGATGTGTTATTAATTTTGACAACTAAAAAAACCCAAATTATATTGTATAGATGGAAAAAAAAAATGCTACTTGAACACGTTATAGAATTCAAACAACGCAGAAGTGACATACGTTTAAGATACATCCCGCAGAGATTATTAAATCCAACCTCGTGACCGATTTTATGGTTTTCAATTGGTACGCTGTCAATTTTATCTTCTTCCGCAATGCATTTCTTGGTATTATTTTTTTTTAAATACGACCAGCTGGAATGTGCTCAAAAAAAAAAAAATATATATAACATTTCCAACTGCCCGGGGCTCGGCTTTTGGCTGTTTATTAATCTTAATTATATTCAAAGTCTTAGTCTTAAGTCAACAACTCGGTATTGGAATAACAAAAAAAAAAAAAATTGGTGGCAACCGTGGTCGACTGGAGCATGATTTACAACAAGGACCTCTATCTATCGTTAACACTATTGTTATATTGTAATAACCAAATAACATCATTATCTTCTGTAGATCAAATAAAATTAAACGAAAAAAAAACACTAATACTAATTCGTTCTTTCGCGGTATTCATTTCAGTGTGGAGGTCCTCGGTGAACGGTTAACACACATTAAAACCTCGAACGACCATTTACACGGTTATAGTAGTTAATTTTGTATTTTTTTTTTTTTTTTATATATAGAAATCAAGTTTTGGCAAATTCGATCAGTTGGAAAAAAAAGCCATCCTTCAACAGAGGTCTTTGGATTCCGACAAGAGCGACGTCAAACAGGTAACGGTTGTTGATTATAAAAAATCTGGGTTGAAAAAAAAAATCCTCTAAACGAAAGACGTATTGGATATTGGATAACATGATTAGCTGATCTCTGAGTCTCTTGTCAGTTGCACAGGAGTTATTCATTTCTCCTTATCACCAACCCATCCCCACCTCATCCTCATCTATCATTTCCCCTCCTATAGAATTATTTGATTTTGGGTATCCGGTCAATTGGAATTTGAAGCCCTGTAATGCGAATAACGTTGGGAAATTTATTTTTCCAAACTTAACTGAATTTTACATTTTTAGTATCTGGAAAAACCAGAAATAACTTTCTGGCGTTTTCACATTAGTATTTATTAGCAAAACTACAGTAAGAAACTTGTTATTTTCTCCGTTTCACGGAAAAACATTGCATCTTGAATATGTTATCTCTTACCACGGAATTACAATTCTTGTGTTACCACAGAATAAACATAAGGGAGTCTTAGAGTTTATCAAAAAACGATAAGACATATTAAGAAATGAACAGTAACGCCAGAATTCAGATATTTTTATTTTTCTGCGATTCATGGTTACACTGTCCATTTCTTAAATGTCCTACACCGACTACAGTGTCGTTGCCATTTTCCGCGTTTGTGGAGTGAACAGTTTAGCCGGAATGAACGAAAAATGAGAATTTCCCTACGCCTACCAGCACTGTTCGCTTCTCAAGATGCCGGACACGGATTTCATCTAGTCCCATTAGAGCCCATGTAAAAATTATATAGTTTCACTTCTGTTTGTTTTGCGGTGTAACGCGAAAATGGCGACATGAAATTTCTTGTATCCAGCCCAATAAGATGGATCCATGTTCTTCTTTTTCTTCTTTATCTTCGCCTTACATTCCCAGCTACATGGGGTCGGTCATCCTAGTCCTACACCTCCATTGAGCTCGGTCTTATACATCTCGTTCAATCATCCCAGCTATCCTCATATCATTCTGTATTCCATCCATCCATCTTTTCTTTGGTCTTCCTCTTCCTTTTTTCCCCTTTACATTTATCTTTATAACACCCCTCACTGCCTTTACTCTTCTCATAACATGATCGAACCATTTCAGCTTATTCTCTCTCATTTTCTCGACAATTGGTGCAACCTAGGAGTTGCATCAATTGTTGCATCGCTCCCCCTTATGTATTAATTTCTTATTCTATCTTCCTTAGTCACTCCACTCATCCACCTTAACATTCTCACCTCCGCTACACTCATTCTCTGTTCAGTTTTCTTATCTACTGTCCAACATTCCGACCCATATAACATTGCTGGCTTCACTACCGACCTATACAATTCACCTTTCAATCTTTCGCTCCCCGCCATTTTTTTGTACCACCGATCATAAGTACTTAAACCTATCAACCTCACACACTTCATCATCACCCATCTGCATTACCTGTCTTACCCTATAACTTCATCCAAATGCAAACATGATTGTCTTCGTTTTACTCCTACTAATCCTCCTCAGTCCTTTCCCTTCAAGCTCTTTTCTGCACTCTTCAAGTCTCTCACCCAATTCTTCAGGACTTTCCCCCACCATTCTTTTTGAGACACCCTGTATGATAATGATTTGAATAAAAATAAAAAAATCAATAATCAATGTTATAACAATGATAAAGTGAATTTTGATTTTGATTTTTCAGAATGGTGTGGCGCGTCCGGAAGTCAATTCCGTGTGCAAGTCGTGTGATAAAACCGTATACGCCATGGAGCAAATCAAAGCGGAACGTCAAGTTTGGCATAAAAACTGTTTCCGGTGCACCACGTGCAATAAACAACTGACGTGAGTACACAACTATAATATAATATAGGTCTATGCATTTGTTGAGCATCTTTTTAAAAAAGAAAAACCGTTTGGCATATCATGTGTTATAGACTCGACATTTATAGCAGTCACGAAGGTCTGTTGTACTGTAAACCGCATTTCAAGGAACTCTTCCAGCCCAAAGCTGTGGTCGAAGAAGACGAGCCAAGTAATTTTTACAGTTTTCGCTATTATACTATCATTACACCAAACGAAGAGGCGTTCTCCGGACAAACGGCCTATAAATTATTTGGTTTTGAGAAAAACTCGAGTGAAATTGTTTAACACTTATATTTTATGACGTTTTTGGCTTTAAAAATATGTTTCTTGCAAATGTATTTAAATAGCAAAAACATTAATGTAATAATTAGTTGGATTTATGTGATATGGGTTTTTTCAAATTATTTCCCTAACAAAAAATGTATTTAACGAATAACAAATAAGCTGTTAAAAACAAATTGGTTATAAAAGTATAAAATACAACATATAAACATTTTACCAGGTATATTTTATTATGGAGGTTAATTATTTAAAATGGACCCTTTGTCAAGAGAACGCCACGATTATTACAATAATATATTATATTATTACAATATAATATAAAAAAATCGCAAAACGTATACTTACATGTATTTAAAGTCGTGTTTTCGGTTCTTCTAATAAAAAAAAAATAGTTTGACTATTAAATTCAACAATTTCATCCCTTCTACTTTGGAATGGAGAAAAACAAACGATAATAATATCGATGGTAGCACTTGTTGTGAATCCACTTTTTTTCCAAAATAAACTTTTTAATACCAATAGATAGAAAATTGAATGCTCTTTATTTATTTTTTTTTTTTTTATAAAAGTTCTTTATATTTGTTGCGGTATTTACACATTTACAATAAGAACGTCATTTACTTAGAAAACATTAGACACTCTTTTTGTTATTATCATCGAAAACCCATAATAAATTATTTATAAAAACGCATTAATAATAATTGACGTTTTAAAAAAATATGATTTACATATTGATATTTAACCGCAATTATTACTCTTTACAGTTTCTCATCGAATCGTCCACATAAAAGCTGGTTTTCCCAACTTTGGACGCATATTTTTTTTTTAACAAACTGTTTCTGCTTAACGTCGGGGGGAGGTGTTACTGAGCCCCCCCTTGTCCCACACATATATATATGATATTATTTTTACATGATCTATTATTGTCACGATAAATATTATATTGTAGTCAAACGCAAGAAACCGGAATTGATTATACGCGAAAATCAGCCCACAGAATTGCCACCAGACGTGGTCAGAGGTATATTTTGGTGATGCAATGTATCCTGTAAACAGTTTTTTTGTGTCCGTTTGTGTCTGTCGGTTTTGTATTTCTTTAATATTCACCTAATACGTCCAATATTTACACGACACGACGACCGTTTCGGCGTTGTTACCCGTTAACACACAAACCCGTTGGCTTTATTGTTATTTAAATAATTATGTTTGTAGTTACCACCGTAGACCATAGCTGTTGTGCCTCATTATTCGAATAAAACGTTATCTAAAAAAAAAATATACATTATATAATCTAAAAAAGTCATCTAGATAACACGTTATTCAAGCGAAAATTATTCGGTTGAATAATATCCTACTTAATTAATAATCACATTGTATTTGAATAATTTCAAACGCAATTATTTAAATTAATTTGCAAGTGCGATTTTCAAGTAGTTTTTTTTGTTTTTATAAGAGGTTATCCACCTGTAAATTGTAGTATGAAAACAAGATCTTATTCGGGTCTACTACAGAGGCTCGGTTGTACACTAAATTCACTAAATTTCCATAGAAAAAAAAAGATGGACATTTTTATTAAAAATCAAATAACTTTTTTCCTGTACATTTTAAAACTGAATTTTTCTTAGTATTTTTTAAAAAACTATTAAAAAATAGCTATTTTAGAAAAAGTTCTTCTCTATTTACTGTGAAAATTCGTTGTTTTTTTTTTTACAACAATGCCAAGACTGGTGGTTTCGATGTGGAAAAAATTGTAGTTTTTTCTACAATAAAGACTGTGATAGTGAAATAATCAATTAAGAATCCTCATTATTGTATTAATAAGTATTGAGTATACACGATGTATAATAGCTTTATGTTTAAGATTTAATTTAAGATTTTGCACGAAAATTGCCTATACTTTACACCTTATCGAATAGGTTGGTGGCCGTCCTCTTAAACATAATTTTGTATAAATGTAATATAATACGTTTTATAATATTATAACATTTAAGTAAAATTGTATGTTTATTTATTTTTTATTTTAATTTACTATTTTTTATTCGAATAAGAATTTGCACAACTCTGCCACCACTAACTCGATGAACGATAAAACGATACAGATGTGATTTTTAGAGTGTTGTGATTAATAACAATAACACTTTTTATGGTTTTTTTTCCTATTATAATATAATATTTAAATTTTTTTCTATTTCGACAAATTTGTACCGGTGTTTATTTTTGTGGTGCGCTGTAAGCTGTAACGCAAAAATGAACATAGGTTGAAAATTTGTAAAATAAAAAAATATTAAAAAATAGCTATTTTAGAAAAAGTTCTTCTCTGTTTACTGTGAAAATTCGTTGTTTTTTTTTTTTTACAACAATACCAAGACTTTGGTGGTTTCGATGGGGGATTTCATAACCAGTACAACCAATAGTGTGTAAATATTTGTATGTGATTATTATTGGAAATTATCAATTATTTGCAGCCAGCGACAAACCGGATTTGGGCTTGGAAGAACTGAGTTCGTTGAACGTCAAGTCGCGTTACCAAGCTTTCGAAAACGCTTCGGTCAACGGCAACGGACCCGTTGAAAAGTCGCCGGTCAGCGTCAAGCGGTCGCCGAGTATTCTGAGCAAAATGGCCAAGTCGGTTTTCACATATTATCTCATTTTATATATATAAACAATTACACGTGGATAGTGTGCGATAATAATTTCTCGAACCATTGCTCTCCGGACAGGTTCAAGTCCAAAGGTATGGACGTCGGCGTGCCCAACGAAGCGTTGAACGGAGCTTTCTTCGAACCGTCTTCCAGCAGCGACGGCGAGAACGACGAAGACGACGACGGCGGCGAAGTGACCAAGAACTGTATCTCCAAAGAGAAGCCGATGAGCTTCGACAAAATGGAGTCAGTCAAACGCAACTGGGAAATGCGCCGCGAAGAAATGAAAGAGGAACACAAACAGGAAATACAAAATATAAGATCGAAATTGTTTTTGGTCAGTGATTATATTTTATTATATGGAATATATTGTTGTTAAAAAAATTTTTTTTTTTAAAACGATGCTGGTGTTTCGAACTAATCGAATTTTATATCTGTTCAGGGCAAACAAGGCAAGATGAAACAGATGTACGAACAAGCGGTGGCCGAGAGCGAACGCACCGGAGTCAAGCGCGACGTGAACATCAACAAATCGGAAAAAGCCAAAGTCATCAAGGAGAAGTTCGAAAGGGGCGAGACTCTGAACGACGACAACGAAAACGGAGAACCGGACGAGGCCAACAAAACGACAAATCAAGACGAAGACGAAATGAGTGTTTTCGAGGCCGGTCAGCGATTATACGTCATTTTCTTTTTTTTTTAAACAAGCTTAAGATTTTTTGTTTTTAGTTTTGAGTATTTTTTTTTTCTAATTCAGGTATTTCCAAGAAATCCAGAAGCCATTTTATGGAATTGGACGCCAACGCGGCAAAGACTTTGCAATCGCCGCCCATTTCCGTGGCCAAAAAAGAATTCACTCCTAGCAAACCGGTACGTTAAGTCGATTATAACAGTGTACATACAGGGTGTTCCTGTATGAAAGGTAAGTAATAGGTGATTGGAGATCTAGGGGACCCCTATATAAGCCCCCCTTTTTCATTTTTTCGATAAGTAAAAAATTGAAGATTTCGACAGTTAAGTAAAAAAATAATGACTTAAAAAAAAAAAACTATTCCCTGTTATTCATTGCAAAAACCTCATCTTAAAAGAGGGGCCACATCATTTTCAGTCCTTTTCGGCCCCTAACTCAAAAAATGATAAGAGAAAAATGATTAGAAACCTGAAATAAATGATAAGTGATAAAAGATAAATGCTAAGATATAATTGATAAGAGATAATTGGTAAGAGATAAGTTATGAGAGATTAGAGATAAATGATAAGAGATAGGTGCTAAATGATAAAAGATTAGAGATAAATAATTAGAAACAAGAGATAAGAAATAAATTATAAGATATTAGTGATAAGAGATAAATTATTAGAGACTAAAGGTAAGAACAAAATGATAAGATTAGTGATAAGAGAAGAGTTAGGGGCTGAAAAAGACTGAAAACGATGTGCCCCCCTTTTAAGGTGAGCTTTTTTCATTGAATTACATGGAATAATTTTTTGTTTTTTTAGGTCATTATTTTTTTTACTTAACTGTCGAAACCTTCAATTTTTTACTTATCGAAAAAATTAAAAATGGGGGCTAATTTAGGGATCCCCAAATGTTCAATCACCTGCTACTTACCTTTCATGCTGGAACACCCTAGATATACAACGTGATCATTGTTGGTTTGTAAATTATTTTACAAAAAAAAAACATTATAATATATATATATATACAAATATGAATATTTAAAATCATTCCTACGTGTACGGCATCGTCAGGTCAATCGAATATCGTAGCGTTAACAATAAGGCGTCCCGTGTATCGTGTGAACTCATTTTGACTGGTTCAAATTCTACCTTTTTTCTTTTTTTAATAAACGTCTTTGCCAATTTATGTCTCTTAGATAACGCCAATGTACAATCGGCAAGTATCCGAAGATGTGGTCAAAAGCAGTGACCGCATTGAGGACGTTACCGTAGAAACGGCCGATGTTTGTTCAAAGTTTAAATTCTTTGAAACCTATAAGCCGCCTCCGGCTCCTAAGAGACAATTCAGGATCACACCGCCGCGAGAAGGCCAAACTAAGGTTTTTTGTCTGATAAAATCTGATGATTGTTTTCCTTCTAACACTCTTGACGAAATTATTAAACCACTAAAACTAATTGTATAGTGATTTTTTTGTTTTGTGTACCGTTCACAACTTTTTAGCGTTGATATTTTGTATTTGAAGTATTTGATTTCTTTCTTTTATTCTACTAATAGAATGTATTGATAACGAATTAACAATATCGACTCTAATAGAAAAACCGAGACCTGTGTAACGACCCTTGTTTTTTTTGACAATGATGTATACAGATTTTTTTATTCATTATTAATCGATTTCTCTTATGAAAATACCGATAAAATCTAAAAGCACATTTACAAGTTACAACTAATAAAATAGTTTTTATCAAATGTACTGTCACCCGTCGACTGGTTTCGAAATACTGGGCCCAACCCATTAAACCCAAATAGGTTTTAATGGATTAACCCTATTAAAAAAAAAAAACATTGTGCAAAAAAAATAGCATATTTCAACTGCATTTTTATTAACCAATAAATTACAGCTCTAATAATAAATAACAATATTAACAAAGAATATTTATGATAAAATAATTTTTTTTATTTACCCAGGCTTAACTTTTTTTTTTAATTCATCACTTACAACTTAATACACAACTGTATTAAATTTTAATGGAAAAATTAAAAATTTCAATTAAAAACACCAATAATTTATTTAATTCTCACTGAGTTTAATTATTAAATAACTTAACAAATATAAACTCACTATCTTAGATAAACTCATATTAATTCTAAATTGTTTGAATATCAATAAGTAGTTGTTGAAAAAAATACTTAAACAGCTATTTAAATGCAAAACCTGGCGGTTTGGATTGGACACTTTGTGTGATTTTTAATTTTTTTTTTTTTACAACATAAAATTAAAGTGCTTTATTTTATTTTTTTAGTAGACACCCTCAAAAAATCAAACCACATTTTTTAACACATTTACAGTGTAAAAAACAAAATTATTTATAATTAAATACAATAGTTTGTACCATAATATGAAGTTTCGCATCGTAGCGTTGATTCGACGCTCAATCCTTAACATCCGTGACCTCACCGGCTAATATTGTAGAATAGGTTTTGTTTAGAAATTGAAATAGTCTGATTTTAACAAGTATTAACCTTTTATTAGACTTGTTATTTTTAATAACCTTGGTTTTTTTTTTTTAAACTATATTTACATAATATTGTATTTGAGTATTAATTTCGCTTGTTTGCGTTCAGGGAGAATCTCCGGAACGTGACATCTACCGTGATCCCAACGTGGTGAGGAGCGAAGATCCGGTAGACGAGACGGCTGAGCTGGTCAAGAGTAACACAACGTCGAAAATGTTGTCGCTGTTCCGGCAAATGGAAGTCGCCAAGCAGGACGTGCCAGAGGGTCCGAAACCGATGAAACGCTTTACGCCTCCGCCGGATTACAAGGAATCTTCAGGAACCGAGTCTGAGTCCGACGACGAAGTCAGCGACAGCGAGGAAGAAGAATCTACCGGTAGCGAGGCAAACGGCGACGTAGTAAAATCATCGATGAAAGTAGAAGACGAGTTTTTGAAAAATGTAATAATTAATTCCACAACTACAATTATTCGATGGGGTTAAAACCACAGTGGAGTAGGTCACATTAACCTTGTTTAGAGAAAAACAGAAAAACTCTTGTATTGTGCTGTCATCTGGTGGTAGAGGTTATGAAATGCCACTTACTCCACTTTTGCGTCTCGATAAACTGACCATTTAAGATATGCTTACAACACATAACTTTTAAGGGTAGTATTACTTACAGAGCACTATGGTTTTCACCCAGTCGTTAGCACATGGTACACATTTTTAGAATATACAACAATATATTATTCAAAATAAGCCATAAGGGATGCTAAGATATATATATATATATATCTGTTTGTTTCCTTGTTGCTGTATTTATTAATTTTTTTTTTAACGCATCAATGATGATTAATTTAATAATATATTATTTTGACAGGCTCAAAACGCTGTGAAGGCGAAATCGTTAAAAGAAAAGTTCGAGCATTGGGAACCCGAGAAACACTCCATAAACAATGCCGTAACCATGTTGGACTCGGAACAAGAAAGTATTGAATCGACGAAATCGCTTCTTGCCCGTTTCGAGTCTTTAAAAGCCGAACGACCGGCCGAAAAGCCAAAACCAAAAGTCAACAGATTTGTGGTAATTTAATAAAACAACATTTTTTATTTTTATTTAAATATTATGCATTATTGAAATTATTATTATTACTATGATGAATTTTAAATGCTTCTTCTATCTATATTAATCTTCTTCTTCTGTTGTGGCCTGTCCGTTTTTTTTTTTTTTGTTATAATTTTCTATTTTTGTAGGCCAACGGTAATATGTCGACGGTCGGACGCAAAAAAGACATATATTGGGACTTTTTTAATTAACGTCTGACGTGTGACGACATAGATATCAAATTTATTATTCTTAAACGATACATTTTAGGTAAATAACCAGCGTTCTTCTGCAAATCCAGTACGTCATGTGATAATATTATTAATTTTTTGATTGGCTCGATTTATGTGATACATAGTGCATTAACATCGGACAAAGCGAAGAATAAAAATAATACTATTCTATTCCTATTGCCATTTGAACCTTTGAATGTTATACGATTAATATAATATTACATGTTATACTAAATTATTATAGATACAATTCTGAACACTCGATTGATGCCACAGATTTTTACCACGTTCTATTAAATAGTCAAATTTGAACTTACTAATTTCATTTATCAATAATCAAAAGCTATCATTTCTTCGGCACTAAAAATAATTGAAGAAACACCATAGGCATATATATATATATTTTTTAAACGAATAAATTTGTAACAGTTTTATTAATTAATTTAGCATTTCAATGGGTTCTTCTTTTTTTTTTATCTAAAAATTGTCGGAACTGTTTGTCGCAGTGCTCAACTTGGGAAAACCTTTTATAAAATCATAATTTTGAAAATTCAACTTAAAACTTTGTTCAATCCGAATTTAGATTGTACAATAGTCCGATCAGATATTTACATTTAATTATATTTATAAACAAATACCGACGAGGTAGTTAAATTATATTTTATTGTAAAAAAAAAAAAACTCTTATAATTTTGCCAATGTTGTATAATATTTTATTTATATATATTTTTTTTTTTTGAGATTTATTAAATCATTATAACTTGTATGGATTTCTTAACCGGTCGTAGGCTGTTTTAAGGCCTAGTTTGGTGGTCACCTCTGGGAGTTTGTTTTACTGCTTAGAGAGAGTGCTCGATGTGACGGTGAGCGCTAACGCAATGCCGTCTCACCTCTGCCCACGTATCCATTATACATAGCAGCAACATCTATCGATTTTGCTTTTTGTATTTTTGAGGTTACTTTTAAATATTGGAGGAACACAATGTTTCCTATGTTAGTTTTTTTGATCAGCCTACGGTAAATATTATTTTTTTTCAATACCTCAAATAGTAAATTTCCTTAGCAATGGTCAAAAATATTTTTATTTTTTTTACTATAAAGAATAATCGAGAGGGTTAAGAAGGCGTCGCACCGCCCATTTTTAAGGAATAAAGTATAGGCAATTTTTTACAAAATCTTAATTTAAAGATAAAACTGTGATGTGTAATTATTAGTTCAATAACTAGGACTCTATTTTGGTAGTTAATTTATTTTTTGGACTATCACAGCATCCTTAAAAGCGATTTAAAAATGTTTATTTATCTCTACTTGTTTAAGCAGACTGAAAATAACTCGCTTAATTTTGGATTTAGAGTAAAAGCACCCATTATAAAATTAAAAGAGAACAATATTCCAGAGGACAAGACGGTGCGTTTTTTTCAATATTCTAAGTATAGCGCTCAGTACATTGTTTAGAAATAACGACTATTTTAACATTTTTAAATGACTGTAACTTTTCAAAAAAATTAACTTTAAAAAAAAAACGCACCGTCTTGTCCTCCGGAATATTGTTTTCTTTTAATTTTATAATAGGTGCTTTTACTCTAAAACCAAAATTAAGCGAGTTATTTTCAGTCTGCTTAACATGTTTTACCACTGAAAATCACCGGTGCGACGCCCTCTTAAGAGCAAGTCTAAAAATGTTTTTGAATACCTACATAATATAAAATAATTTTCAGGAAATCTAAATTATTAAATCTGACACATTGTTGTTTTACCCTATTTTATTTTACCGTTTTTTTTTTTGTGTGTGTTTTTAATAAATGTTGAAAAAATAATAAAACTTAAACGAATAATAAATGGTTTGTGTTTTTTTTTTGTTTTGTGTTTTGTTAAATAATATTTTTGCTTTACGTACAGTGCTGCTATCGTTTGACAGACAACTATTAACTATTTTAATTATTTTGAGAAGTCAATTTTTTTGAATAACCATTAACCCCAACTGGCGTGCTGTGTGTGTGACGTTTGATGTTTGCGACTAAGGTGAGTTTGTTTAACTTGTTTTATTAGAAGTAAAAAAATTAATATTTTAATCAAATATTAAATTACTTGACTTAAACAACATAATATTAGATTGAACTATTGAAATGTGGCAAAATATATTATTTTTAAACGTCACCGTTATTGTCGACAAAATTAAATCATCGCAACCTTAATTTTAAACAATCAACGTTTGCTATTTTGCCATTTTTCTAACTAGTGATTTTTTTTTTTTTACGGTTTATCAACAGAAATTAATTAGTTCTAACTAATATTGAGGTGTAAAATTTTAATAATTTATATTTATGTATTTTTACATAATTAAAAAAAAAAACTCAAAATTCGTTTAATATACTGCGTTTAGTCGTGTCGTACTCGACTGTACTAATAATTGTTTGTAAATATTATTTTTTTGTTTCAGTAAAAAGAAAAGTTCTTTTCAAAAGGTGGATTTACGTGTACATACGCAACATTTATTTACTCAACACTACAAGACGGATCTAACACGGTGGCTGTTGTATTTTTTTTTTTTTTTTACTTCTAAAACAAAATGAAAATTTATTTATTAATCTCACAATATACAATTAAGTCGGAATATTATGAAACAAACTTTTTTTTTTTTGCAACGTCTATTAAATGAATTTATTTACGTTTGTTCGTTATTGAAAAAATACTCGTCTCAACGATGTTAATATACTATTATTTGATAACATTAAAATTATATTATGAAACCAAAATTTGTGTCAAAATTTATTGTAGCCTAATTTTTGTTGTTGATTATTTTTTTTCACGGTAAACGTTTGCTTTGTATTACAAATTTATATTTACAGTTGAATAAATTTTTTTTTTATCGTGTTATAACACCAATTATTTTGTTATTAAAAATAAGTATAATATTATATTATTGGTTAATGAACACTTTTTAAAAATAAAGTGATAATAAAAATATATCATAAAGATAATAAACATTTTTTTTTATCTACATTTTTTTTATACTTATGTCGTTTGCTCGATATGCGATATGTGATTTTAATTTCTCTCTTAAATTAGTTTTTCAAACTTACGCTGATATTATATTATAACCGTTTATGTGTAAACCGTTAACAGCTAACAATGTTTGTTTTATGTTTACGACAGCAACAATCGGAGAGCATCGTGCTGTGCGAATCGTGCGAGAAGAAGGTTTACCCATTGGAAAAAGTGGAAATCGAAGGCAGACCGTTTCACCGGACGTGTTTTAAATGCACTCAATGTCAATGTGTTCTACGGTAAGAGTTTATTTCAATTTCTATTATTCGACTTTTATGATTTTTTTGATTTTATCCCTCCCCCCCCCTTTTACAGTATGGACACGTTCACATGGAATAATAACAAGCTGTATTGTCTGCCACATTTCAAACGGCTGTTCATATCAAAAGGAAATTACGATGAAGGTTTTGGCGGCAATCAACACAAAAAGAAATGGGAAACCAACGGACACCACGCACCGCAGCCGCAAGTCGTAGACAGACCATCCAATTAATATTAATGTTATAAATGACAATTATTATATAAATGTAAAGAAAAACAATTTAATAATTATTATAATAATATTAAAAAAAAAAGAATTAGAACCAATCTTAAACGATAATTGATGTTATTATAAAGAGAAAAAAAATTAAAATGTGATCGTGAAATGTTGAATTTCAAAGTATAAAACTGAATATTATTATTAAATGATGTGTATGCTTTTCGTATTGCTACTGCGAACTATTTATTTTTTTATTCGTCCAATTGGTCAATATTACCGAAATTATTAATGAATTATACTTACATATATGTATTTTTTTTTTTTTTTGTATAATTTATTATTTTTTATTATTTTTAGTATTTTATTTAATTGTGTATGCATAAAAATGTGGAAATAAAAATATAACGATACAATCGTTCTATTTATTTTGTGTTTGTTGTTTATATAAGTACATAATTTAATAGTCGTAACCCGATATGAATCAGCTAGTTTCTAGCAAAACAACATTAAATCGATTGCAACTTAAGCGTCATAGTTAAATCTCGTTTGTTATTAACATATTTTTATACTATTTTTGATTAAACTAAAATTAAAAATAAATGTAATCAATGGTTTACCTCATTTACCGTTGTTTTCAGTTGAAGAAAATTAATAATCCGAAAATATAATCTCATGTTTATTTTTCCAGTGTTCAAAAAAAAAAAAAAAGAAACTTAAAATGAAATGGAACCATACATTGGTTGATATTTTTCAAGTAAAATAACAAAAAGGTTTCAATAGTTATAGCTTTAAAATGTATGAACTAAATACTACTTATTTGTCTACCAATGTACTTTAACTTGAGTATAATTAAATCACTTTCAATCATTATTGTTTGCCTTCGCCTTAAACGTTGAAAACCAAATTTTAAAACAATGGAAGTTGTAGCTAACATTAAATTAAATTTGCATAACTCATACCACGGTTGTGGTATAAAACGAAATTACCTACAACCGTGGTTCATACTTGCTATTGTTTACATTATTGTTGAGATTAATTGTAGTGGAACACAAAAGAAATAACAAACAAACACTTTGAGTAATAATAGAGTTAATATTATAGACACAAGTTAAACCAATAATAACAATACAATATAGATATATGTATAAGTCAGAAGTAACAAGCACATTAACAAAATAGTAGCTGTGGAACGAGTGTGTCCCCTTGTCCACATACAAAGGTATTTATATCATAAATCTAGGTTAAATCAATTCATACAAAATACTTTCTAAGATTTCACATACAATAGTGTCTTCCTCGACATACTAAACTAATCACATTAAAACTACCTTAGAATATTAATTACATTTCAACACTCTCCCTTAATTAATATTTTCCTTAATTAACTATTGTCCCAACACACTTGAAACCAGTTGTGGATATTCATAGCTGATCTGATCATCTCGAATCGTTCCTTTGGCAATGGTTTGGTGAAGATATCTGCCAACTGATCCTTTGTCTCCTTGTATTGAAGTTGAAACACTCCATCTTCATACTTCTCACGAATGAAGTGATGTCTGACATCAATATGTTTAGTTCGTTTGTGAAACTCTGCATTCTTAACTAAACGAATAGCACTTTGATTATCTATATATAATATTGGTTGAATACATTCATTATTAGTGATTTCCTGTAATAAACGTTTAAACCAAATGATCCCTTTTACTGATTCTGCCGCAGAAATGTATTCAGCCTCACATGAACTTAAACTTACTGTTGATTGCCTTTGAGATTGCCATGCTATTGTAGAAGAACCTAGCATAAAAAGGTTGCCTGACGTTGACCTTCTTGTCTGGACATCTCCAGCAAAATCTGCATCTGTATAGACACTAAAATCTGAGTTATTTTCAGGTTTATAGTACAATCCAAAATCAATCGTTTTGTTTATGTAACGAATAATTCGTTTTACCATAATCCAGTGAGCTACCGTTGGATTGGATAAATATCTACTCACGTAGCTGACAGCATAACTCAAGTCCGGTCTGGTTACTTGTGATAAGAATAATAAACATCCGACCGCTTGTCGATATGGCACATCCTTACCAATTGGTTTTGATTCTGTTTCTAATGCCGTTGCCCTGTCGAATGGAATCGCCAACTCTTTTGCGTCTTGCATATTAAAACGTCTAACTATGTTAAAAGCATAATTTGATTGATGAATTATTAACGATCCATCGTTCAATTTTCTTATTTGTATCCCAAGAAAATAATCTAAATCATTACTTTTGACCTCAAATTCCTGTTGTAAAGTTGATAATAAAGACTGAATCTTAGATGAACTATTTGACATAACTAATCCGTCATCTACATATATACCCAATATTATCTTATCATTACCGTCATGATTTATAAATACACAAGGGTCTGCTGTGCTTTGTGTTAGATTAAAGCGCAATAAAAATTCTGTAAATTTTTGATTCCAACATCGTGAACTTTGTTTCAATCCATAAAGACTCTTGTTTAATTTACATACTCGGCCTGATTTATCATCATACCCCACTGGTTGAGACATGTAAATTAGTTCCTCAAGAACCCCATTCAAAAATGCTGTCTTTATGTCAAATTGTTTTAATTTCAATTTTTCTTTGGCTGCGACTGCTAAAAGTGCCCTAATAGACTCAAAACGAACTACAGGTGAGAATGTCTCATTATAATCTATACCGTATTGCTGCCTCGATCCATTTATTACTAGCCTAGCTTTATAACGTTCAACATCTCCGTTGCTCGCATATTTAACTTTGTATACCCAAGAATTATTTAAAATATTTTTGTCTGTCGGTCTGTCTACTAACTGCCAAGTATTATTCACAGCTAGTGAATTTAACTCGTCATTCATGGCTTCTGTCCATTCATGACTGTTTTCACCATTGATCGCATCATAATAATTTATTGGTTCCATACCTTTCGCTGTACATGCGGCGTATCTGTCAGGTTTTCGTAGTTGACCCCGGTCACGTAAGTCGTAACGTGGTTCTTCACGTTCTGACTCGTCCGCTACTGGTCGTTGTGAAGTATCGTGTTGAATATCTAAATCACTTTCATATAATGATACATCAACAGTATTGTGACATTCGTTTTTAAATATGACATCCCTAGAATCAATTATAATTCGTTTTTGTTCTAAATATACACGATATCCTTTCTTGTCAATTGAGTACCCTACGAAAATACCTGATTCACTTCTAGGATCCAATTTTTGACGTTTCTCTTTGGGAATATGTGTGTACACTTTTGTCCCAAATACTCTCAGATGTTTTATATCTGGCATTTTATTATAAAATAATTCATATGGACACTTACCTTCCACAGAACTTTTACCAGTTAGATTTATCGTGTATACTGCCGTATTAACTGCTTCAGCCCAAAATGATAAATCCATTTTATTAGCATGAATCATTGTTCTCGCAGAATCCATAATTGTTCTGTTTTCTCTCTCGATTTTTCCATTTTGAGGAGAAGAGTAAATTTGAGTCTTCCGATGTTGTATCCCAAATGTCTGAAATATTCTAGTTACATCATCATTTAAAAATTCAGTACCATTATCTGTCTGAATCGCCTTTATCTTAAAACCTGAACCTGTTTTAAAACTTTTTATAAATAACTTAAGTTTATTTTTCACTTCACTTTTATGTTTCAAAAAATATACCGTACGAAATCTACAGTAATCGTCTTTACATAGTAGAAAATACCTTGACCCGCCTTTCGATTTCTTTTGGATCGGCCCGCACAGGTCTGCATAAATTAAATCACCTATATTTTGTGATATACTTGTCCTGGTTTTAAATGACTTTCTCGATTGTTTGCCAATGATACAGTCATCGCATTGAAAAGTGTCGTCTTTGTCTGGTACCTGTATATTATGTTTTAACAAACACGTTCTTACATACCCGATATTTGATGAGCTAATCTTTTATGCCAAACACGTATTGAATCAGCCATTACTGCTGTTGCATTCGCTTCAATATTTTTAATTGAATCATTTGTATTGCCTGTCAATGTCACGTCTGTAGAAACCTGCAATACTTTTATTTTTAAATGATATAAACCGTTGTTGCGTTTACCTTCGCAAACAACTTTGTTATTCTTCAAGAAAACGCACATTTTACTGTCAGACTTCATCATTAATCCCTTATCTAGTGCTGCACCACAACTAAATAAATTAAACTTTAAGTCTTTTACATACAACACATTTGATAAATAATTTTTGTACGTTTTGTTTTTAACTTGACAAGATATATTAATTCTCCCAGAACCTTCTGCCAACAAAACTGATCCATCCCCGATTGTTACTTTTGCTGGTGAATCAAATTGTTTGTACTCACAAAACCATTCCATATGTCCTGTCATATGGTCAGTTGCTCCACTGTCGAGAAACCATTGATCCTCTTCTTTTTCCGTGAATAATAATTCACTATAGAAGGCTTGCCCTGTTGAACTTGAATTTGAAGAATCGGATTTCGCACCCTCTTGATCCTTTTTGTACTTTCTGCAGTCTCTTTTAAAATGACCTGGTTTTTGACAATAAAAACAGGGACCTACCTTTTTAGTACCAGTATTTTGTTTACTGAATTTTTGTTCAACTGACTTCTCACCACTCGGCTTCTTAGAAAATTTCTTTTGAAACTTTCTGGCAGTCAAAGCATTATTTTCTTCTGCTTCAACCCTCGAACTTACCTGTTGCATTCTGGATTCTTCTATAAGTAACCTAGATGTTAGAACATTTAGATTTTTACTCGCCTCAGGAACACTATCCCAAGCGCTGTAAAAATGTTTGTAAGTCGATGGTAGAGTCATTAAAATTTTGGTTATTAACATCCCTTCCGAGATATTTTCTCCTAGTGAGTTGAGTTGGTTCCGTAAATTTTGAAGTTTACTTATGTGGGTCGATATATCATCACAGGAATTTTTACTGTAACTAAAAAATTTATTTTGTAGTAAATGTACACTTGCCTCTGTTTTTTGCTCGTAGACACTCAGCAACTTATTCCACATTTCATTGGCGGTTTGACAATTAATTAAACATTGTAACGGTCCATCATCCACTGACGTTACAATTATCTTTTGGCATTTTCCGTCTGCCCATCGCCATGCAGATATTTCATTAGCACACCTCGCCCGTGCTTGTTCTTCTGTTTCAGTGGATGTTTTGACTAACCTTGGTTTTGGTATTTCTCCGCTAAGTATTCCTTCCAGGTCAAAACTGTTCACAATGACCCTTATTTGGAATTTCCATAACAGCCATCCTTCTGCACTGGACAACTTAGTAATCTTGACCGAATCTTCCATGACGTCGATCGAACTGTACAATTGTCTGTACCAAGAAATATTACCTTTAGTCAGTAAGTATGTATTGGTCAGTATTCGATGTTTGACTTTTGAGTATCGTGGTCTGGGCCCATAACCTGTTGAGATTAATTGTAGTGGAACACAAAAGAAATAACAAACAAACACTTTGAGTAATAATAGAGTTAATATTATAGACACAAGTTAAACCAATAATAACAATACAATATAGATATATGTATAAGTCAGAAGTAACAAGCACATTAACAAAATAGTAGCTGTGGAACGAGTGTGTCCCCTTGTCCACATACAAAGGTATTTATATCATAAATCTAGGTTAAATCAATTCATACAAAATACTTTCTAAGATTTCACATACAATAGTGTCTTCCTCGACATACTAAACTAATCACATTAAAACTACCTTAGAATATTAATTACATTTCAACAATTATTATTTATACTACCCTTTTCTTTTTTTTTAATTATAAGCTTCTTTTCCATATATAAACTATTAATATAATATTAGGTATTACATGTTGTTACAAACTGCGGTACTTATTTATTTGACTGCTGCTAAAATCATATAAGGTAAGCCTAACCTTTAAGTGATTACTATTTCAATAATTAGGTTTACAAAGTAGAAAGGTAAAAAGATAAATACATCAGCATAAGGACATGGGCTGAGCAAAGTTACTTATCATTTCTCTAACAATCAGTTTAAGTATACTTATTTTATAAAAATCCAACTGGGTTAATTTTAAAATTTACTCTTTTAAAACGTTAAAACAAAATACTAACTAAGCAAGTTTAGAAAAAAATTATTGATTTAAATAACCGAATGATTTTAAACACAGACGGGTCAAAGGACATAAGTAGTAAGTCCCAAACACTTATTTTTACAGGAGAGCAGTTTGTAGTTTTTCAAGTTTATGATAAAAATAAGAAATCCCGAGTTGTTGTATTTGTCCGTTTAATATTTAAGTCACTATAAAATATTAATTGTAAGTCGCATTGATTTAGGAATTGTTACAATATAAGTAGGTATAATAATGCTATCTTGATTTTTCTCATCACTAAAAAAAATTACAAGAATTTACTCATTTTTTGATGCGATGCAAAATTGAGAACGTAGCAAACTTGTTGGAATATTTTTTAGATTTATTAGAATTAACCCCTTTTGTCTATATGGGGTGAAAGCTTTTTATTATTTGGTTTTTTTACCGTAGTTTTAGGTATGAAAGTTAGACCGAAATTAGATATAGTGTTGCTCAAAAAAAACGTACAGTTTGATCAAAAATTTGTATAAACAATTTGTTTTATTTAGGAAAACCCGAACGAAAAAATCTAGAAACACGGTTAAAATAATTAATATTATAATTATATATTCTTGAAAAATTTAATATTTCCACCTGTTGAGATTTTTCCATTGTGAATTTTGTCACCTATTTTTTGATATTTTTTTTATGTGGGGGGGGGGAGTGGTCCAAAGTATGGTTTTTAGGTAGTATAAGGTCTATGTGTAATATAAGAAAATGACAATATGTGATAACGATTTGTTATCTGCCGCAAGCAAGCCAAAACAAAATTATTATATTGCCAAAATGAATAAATATTGTTTACTGTAAAATATAATTAGACAATCACTAAAATCACCTTACCCAATTTTTCACTTTAGAAATACTCAAGGGGGGTCTGGACCCAGGACATTCTTAATAGTTTAACCCGTCAAAACAGAGAACAACACACAAACGTATTTAGCTTATATTTTATAATGTACATATTTTTTACTTAATAGATATGTAACATGTTTACTAGATAATTTTATTTTGTTAGCAAAATATTATACATTTAATTTCCATAATCGATACCGTGTTTTCGAGTGTGTAGAAATAATTCTAGTTTTGAGTGTTTTTAAAAAATAAGTAGGTGTGCAATTATCTAATAAAATAGATTACATGCAATTTTCTTCTATATTTTAGTTAAATAACATCAGCTCAGTGTTCATCTGCATTGTGTTCTATATTAACGTTTCTACATAATCGTGACTAACAAATGGATCGTTCGTTAATATTTCTCCTTGGCACTTTCATTAGCGGTAAATCTACCCGGATTTTATCTGTTTAATTAGTTTTGCTTCGAAAATGCCGATTTGATAAGGTATTCGTTCTATAATAATTGTAAAACCGTTTATAAAATTGGGTATGATTTTTATAATATTTTTCTTGTTTTCGCAGTGTCGTCTACCTAGAAACAAAACCGATAAAAACATTTTAAGCTTAAACATAAAATATGTAATTAACTCTTTGATGGTGGTTTGGTTCAGTACATTAACCACTTTTGTTATAGCCTCTCAGGGTTTCAAGGTTAAAGTAAATAACCACATATATATACATTTTTTTTTTTGCCTTAAATACAAGCTATTATCACATTTAATAGTCAACTTAATTTGATTTCTCACTTGTATGATTGTACACTTTAGTTTTTTTTATCTATTGTTGATTTTATTATTTTTAGCTTACCCTTCATGACCCTATTTTATGAGTAATATTTCCGACACATTTTAATATTACCTAGCTAAAAATGTTTGATTATCATTTTGCTTTAGTTGACCGATATTTTTCTTTTAGCCTAAGTTCGGAAAGCCAAATTGGCAAAGTTGATAAATCGCTGTCTGCGAAACGATACGTTATTGGTTTTGAAACGTACTTGCGTTTTAATTTTAATGTATGAACAATGGTTTATACACAAGACTTTAAAACCACTTGTCTGATTTCTTTCTGAAATTAATAATGTTGTCATAACTTGAACTTTCGAAGCTCTCGAAGGGCTCTAGCTACTCTTAAAAAGGTTCCTGATAGCATTACCAGTATTATTATTATACTGATAACGTTAACATTAATTTTGGTTTCTTGGTTGATATTTATGCAGGGGATTGGCTGGTTGTGTTGGCGCATGTAAAGAACTATGCGAGTCTATCTAGCAATGAACCAAAACAAGATCAGTGTTCTTCAATCCTACGTGAATTTTCCATCCAATTCTTTTGGTCTAATGCCGTCGGATATGTCATATACTTTGGTGTCTGTGGATATTTAGAAGTCAGTATTTCAATATAATAAGTTTGCCTTTGTGACATGTGATCTCCCCCACTCCAACACACTTTTTCCATACTATTTTTGATATTAATATATTTTATAGTTGTGGGCAATCCAAAATTTGTGTGGACATTATCTTGGCACTTTAGGTTAAGCCCATACTATTATAGATCAGTGACAAGAGATGAGTTATAATTGACCAAGTTTTATAAAAATTCGATGATTTTATTGATTTTATCCGTTTTACCACTAATTTCTAGTGAAATTGAAGGAGATGAGAGGAGATAAGCGAACGGAAAGTCAGCTGATCATAAGGCATACTCACGGTCCAATACGTTACCCTCAAAGAAAAGATTGAATTGACTCTTTACAGAAAAAGTTGTTTGTGTCTTTTTTAGTGGTCATACTACACGTGCCGGCGGGAAAGAGCCACCGAATGGAAATGTCAGCCTCGCAAATGGTCGAACCGAGACTCGCGCCTGGATCAGATCAAATGGGGTGTTCTCGGGCTTTTCTGCACAAGCTCTTTGTCGGCAGTGTTAGCTACTAACGTCGCCTGTGGTGGTTACAGTACAGTCTACTTGGAATTTGGACAGTACTCCTGGCAGTGGTGGATACTACAGTGGCCTGCGATTTTCATTTTACAGGTTTATGTATATTATGTCTAAAATTTCGAGTATCCACACTACAAGCGGATACATAGGCACATGTACATGTCTCATACCTATGCCCTCTTACCTTATAGAGGAAAAATAGGTTTATTACATTATAAGCATATGAACTAGCAAGTAACGTGTGTGTGGTCTGTTTCAGGATTACACCACTTACTGGATCCACCGTATGTACCACACTCCTTTCTTGTACAAACGTTTCCATTGTGTTCACCATCGGTACTATCAACCTACACCGTGGTCCGTGACGGCCATTCATCCGGTTGAAATTATCACAGTACATCTAGGTTTGGTAGCACCAATGTTTACCTTTCCCGTACACTGGTGTAAGTGAAGCACGCCCTGACGAGAAACAACACAGTTGTTACTATTACTATACTATAATAATACTGGCATTCCCGTGAATTCTAGTTCCTTTTTCCGTCATTATGCTGTACTTATACTACCACGGTATCATCCAACATTCGGGTATCAATTTGAAAGCGCGTTGGTGGCAGCCTTGGCAACCGGATGTGATGTTCCACGATATCCACCATCAGTTTGTAGACGTTAACTTTGGATTTAACTGCTACATCTGGGATCAGGTACTCGCCAAACGAATGTATTTGACCATCATGAGTCGATTTAAAAAAAATAACATATTTCCCAGTTCGTGGAGGATCATTGAACCATAAATGTGTTCTCGGACAGTCACATTTGTCCATTTGTTGCTAAATCGTAACACGGTAATGTGTCCAACCACATTAAAAATTACATTTGTTCCCTATCTGTGAAAAACATTAACTGATCATGATTATGTCTTTTGGCATTATTCAGTTAGTTGTCCCTTAGCACCTGATTCACGTATCAATAATTTTTTTATCAGTTATACAGGGATTATCAATATTCCCTTATGATCATATGTACCATCCGCACCCTTTTTCTTTCTCTATTCTCTGCCTTTTACCTTTCCATCCACTCCACCTTCTCCTCAAAAACAACGAATATGCTGTAACACATATTATCATGTCAAAATGAAGATATTTAAATATTAACTTGTATCCCTTCATTCATACGTGTATTAACTTGACTGAAATTGTTTACATTTAAGTATATAATTCTTAACAGAAAGCTTTAAAGGCCTGAGTTGTGGTGTTAAAACCTGAGCCCTGGATTTAATCACATAGTTTAATGTTAGATTGTAAAGTATAAAATAAATTTCTATTTGATTGATAAAACAAAATATTAGTGTCTGAACTGGCTGTATTTAAGACTTGACAATAACTTGTATTTTGAAAAATTAATTCATTTTATGTATAGATTCACGGCTCTACTAGGAAAGTACCTCAATGAGACGTACTCGAACTCTTTAAGATAGAAGGACGGACAAGGAGGCCTTTTCGCGGCTACGCATGCATTGCTACACAATAATCTAATAAAGATATTTATGCAAAAAAGTGCATTTAAATGCCAGGTGTATACCTACTATTGGAAATAATGTTTTTTTATTTGTAAGATAAAAAAAAATTGATATAAGGTCATTAAAAGCTTAAATAATTATAACCAAATCGAATACTTACCATAAAATTGGTTTTTTCTTTATTTTTCAATATGCTATGTATTTGATCGAATGACCTACTTTTTAAAACTCAATTATTGTCAAAATAAATATTGAAGGTCTTTTCAAAATATTGTAAACAGAGTCTACCGAAAGTAGTGTTACTGGAGTAGTTAAGTTAGGCGGAATAACCAATCCTAACAAAATGTGCTAGTTCAATTTTTTAAATCAAACCAATAATTACTTACAATATTATAATAACGTCTGTTTTCTGTTTTAAAAATGATTTGAATGCATTTAAGACATTATTTTTTACATACGGGTTCTATAAGTTTTTTACCATTAGTTCTTTACTTAACTTAATTCTTTATTCTCATCTCGCGTTGAACCTCCTTGAATGTATGTTTATCACGTAGGTAGTTAAGATAAAAAGAAGCTAAACTCTGATATTTTCTTTTTTATCAAAATACAAAAATATAATACCCACTTTATGTAATGTTTATTAAAAAAAATAACTCATATTCCGCGGCTTGTTATCTATGAAGACTGGAGTATCATGAAAAAAAAAATACTTTTGTTAGGAATACTGAAACCATTATAAGCGATAAAAGCACAAGACTGTTGGTTAAATTGATTAATTCATAAAAAATTCGATTGTCCCAAAGTTCTAGATAATATCCCTCCTTTTAATGTTGCCTCTGTGCATTTACAATCCATAGCATTGTTTTATACTTCACTTGTTCGGCAGAACTGTACATAGCTTTTTCGCTCCAGTCAACCGAATGCTATATTCAAAGCAGTACAGTCCAAACCAAGCACAGTATAAACCAGCACACTAAGTAAGTATTATAACAATGAAAATGTTTCCATTGCCTGTTGACTGTTGATTCATTCACACAGGCTGCCAAGCTAGCGAGTCTCTGTTGATCAGAAAACGCACCCACCTGAAATGTACCTAATTTGGCCAGACATTCTTGATGGTTTAACCCGCCAAAACAGAGAGCAATAGACAAAAACGTATTTTGCTTATTTTTTATAATGTACATATTTTTTACTTAACATGTTTGTTAGACAATTGTATTTTGTTAGCAAAATATACATTTAATTAAAATGGCGCCTTATGGTGATTAAAGAAAGCGCTAACTACCAGATGCTATATGTGTATTATGTGAGTTGGTTAGATCTCCAAATATTTTTTTACATATTGGGCATTAAAGGGTCAGTACTCGCTCCTTTTGCAGTGTATTATATTATTAATGACACATACATTTTAATCATTGCTTTTTTCTCAAGTAGTTATCAAGCATATTATACAGTTTATACAATATATGTACAGCATAATACTATACCGTTTGAAACATATATCGACAATTACCTGCATAATCGATACCGTCTTTTCGAGTGTGTAGGAATAATTACAGTTTTGAGTGTTTTAAACAGTTAGTAGGTGGGGAATTATCTAATAAAATAGATAACATGTAATTTTTTTCTATACTTCAGTAAAATATCATCAGCTCAGTGTTCATCTGCATTGTGTTCTATATTAACGTTTCTACATGCCTACATAATCGTGACAAACAAATGGATCGTTCGTTAATATTTCTTATTGGCACTTTCAGTAGCGGTAAACCTACCCGGATTTGATCTATTTAATTATTTTTGCTTCGAAAATGCCGATTTCATAAGGTATTGGTTTTACAACAATTGTAAAACCGTTTAAACAATTAAGTACACTCAAAAATAATTGTATAATAGTATTGTTCTTTTTCGTAGTGTCGTTTACACAGAAATGTAACCGATAAAATCGTTTTAAGCTAAAACATTGTTTAAATATTTAGGACATTGGGTTGTTATTGGTTAATAAATAATCAGTTTTTTTTGACAGAAAAAAATAACAAAAATATGTAATGAACTCTTTGATGGTGGTTTGGTCCAGTACATTAACCACTTTTGTTATGGCCTCTTAGGGTTTTACGGTTAAAATAAATAACTCCTTATATATATATATTTTTTTTTTTTTTTGCGTCAATTGGAAGCTGTAATCGCACAAAATAGTCAACTAAACACACCAAAAGAGCATGTGGTTACTTATTAATTTGATTTCTCACTTGTATGGTTGTATACTAGAGTTTTTTTTATAACTATTCATTTTGGTGATTTTATCATTTTTAGTTTATCCTCTAGGGTCTTTTTTTTTGGTGACATTCTTTGCCCTTTAAAGAGATAAAATAATAAATTGAATATGCTTAAAAATGATTGTTTCGCTATAACAGAGTATGTATAGATATGATATTTGATTATTTAAATATATACCAGTGGATTTGAGACATGAACAAAATGTATATATTTTTTTAATTAACTAAAAACTAAAATAATAAGTACAATTTAATTTGTACTTAAATTTAGATAAATTTAAATAAAAAACAATTTATATCATTTTTCTATTTTAATTCTAAGTAAATATTAAATTATTTATGATAGTAAATTTAATAATAATGTAAATAATAATTCAATTTTAAAAAATGTATCTATTAAACAAACAGATTATTTAAAAAAGTCAAATAAAAATCGATTAAAAATACGTTTAAAGTTATAAACTTGTAATTAAATACATTTTATAATATTTAAGTGGTATTGGCTTTAAACCCTTCATTTGTTATTTAAATCAAAAAATGTTTATAGTTGACTTTTTTTATACAATTGCGTAAAATAAGGCACCGATTTAAAAAAAAACAAGGTTTAGTTTAAACAAATTGTTTTGTAAAATAGTACAATGTGAGTTTTGTCTGTATATTTCTCTGGAGTTCGGTTAATGAATAAAACTAAATATTACCTATTGTGGCCTTAGGAAACTTTCAGCGAATGAACTATTCAAGTCAAAAGTTGTAAATGTTATCATGACTTGAACATTCTTAGCTCACCTAGTCTCTAGCTAATGTTAGGAAGGTTCCTGTTAACAATACCATTATACTGATAATGTTAACATTAATTTTGGTTTCTTGGTTGATATTTCTGCAGGTGATTGGCTGGTTGTGTTGGCGCATGTAAAGAACTATGCGAGTCTATCTAGCAATGAACCAAAACAAGATCAGTGTGCTTCAAACCTACGTGAATTTTCCATTCAATTCTTTTGGTCCAATGCCGTGGGATATGCCATATACATCGGTGTCTGTGGATATTTAGAAGTCAGTATTCAAATAAAATTAATTTGCCTTTTCGACATGAATAGCAAAGTAATTGTAAGGGGCAATCGATAATTCGCGGATAACTGATCATTTATTATTGATAAGCAATTAATGATAAGAGAATCAGCTGATAAGAGACAGAAAATTTGTAATCATAAAATAGCACGGTCACAATCCAATGTCTTTTATTCCAATAAAAAATGTTGTTTTTTTTAGCTTCGATGTGGAGCTGCCAAGTTTAAGTTCTTACAATGATATGTTTTTTTTTTTTAAATGTTGTTTTTTGTCTGGAGATACGGTATCTTTTAAGTTGCTGAACCGATTTTTTTAAGTAGAAAGTTTATAAATAGATAGATAAAAAAAATGTACATCTTTTTCAACTTAAAATTACGGCTATAACTTTTTAAAAATAATCAAATAAGTTCTAAATTTATAGATATTATTCTTTCGACATTATATTATTATATTAAAAATATTCGTATGAACAAATTGTTTTGTTGTGTTGTTGATTGGCCTATTATTGTATCGACGGTAGCGATTTATTTAGTGGTTCTTATCGCATCAACTCAAATACTCAAAATATTATCATTTTAAGCAAACTATAGCTTAAACAATGCTTTTAATGTTTTTTTGTATTCCTACCATCTACAGATTCGCATCGAAGCGTTCATTGAAAGTTATTCTATGGCATTCAGTTGTAATTATACCTAAAGACATGTGATGTCCCCCACTCTAACACAATTTGTCCATACTATAAGAGATTGGTGATTAGAGATCAGTGACAAAAGATGAGCGATAATAGATAAAATGTAATACAAATTTGACGGTTCGGTTGATTTCATCCGTTTCACTACTAATTGAAGGAGATGAGAGGAGATAAGCGAACGGAAAGTCAGCTGATCATAAGGCATACTCACGGTCCAATATGTTACCCTCAAAGAAAATATTGAATTGACTCTTTACAGAAAAAGTTTTTTGTGTCTTTTTTAGTGGTCATACTACACGTGCCGGCGGGAAATAGCCACCGAATGGAAATGTCAGCCTCGCAAATGGTCGAACCGAGACTCGCGCCTGGATCAGATCAAATGGGGTGTTCTCGGGCTTTTCTGCACAAGCTCTTTGTCGGCAGTGTTAGCTACTAACGTCGCCTGTGGTGGTTACAGTACAGTCTACTTGGAATTTGGACAGTACTCCTGGCAGTGGTGGATACTACAGTGGCCTGTGATTTTCGTTATACAGGTTTGTGTACATTACGCCTAAATAATATGGCAAGCTGAATGGGATTCCTTTTTTTTTATTCGCGTGCGGAAGCGTTATGATCCGCTCAAAAAGTCAATGACACGGCGAATCAATTAAATATTGATCAAGCCAACGGTAAAGTTAGAATAATTGTAAACTACACTATCGATTTTTGTATATTGTTCGAGGTTCTCGAGTTATTGGCAATTTTTATATTTTTTTCGGTAGTTAGGTGTTAAGTCTAAAATGCAATCGGTCATTTTGGTCAGATAAAAATATCAAGACGAGTTCATAGCGAAAAGGAAATGGAGTACTTCCGTTAAGATTCAATTTAAAGCGTGAGTCTTATCTGTGCCAGCGGACAATATTAAACAGCTTTTTGTTGTTTCAGTAGTCGGTAACGAACAATTCTTTTAGGTGAACTTTATATCGATAAATATCTATGACTCAATCCACTTAGATTATTAATTTATAGATTTTTGATAAAGTTTAAAAATACGCCTAATTCGTTTAAATTTGTATTATAATTAGTTTTCTCTTTTAATTCTTTATATTATCTGTTTCTCTATTTCTTATTCCAATAATCTCCCCTAGACTCCATTCGTCCGCCTTTTTTAATCTGTTTGTAATAACTTTTAAATATTTGAATAACGCTAGTTTTGTGACAATTGCTTATAATGACTGACAGAAATCATGCTAGTCAAGATGCCCTCTTACTATATAGAAGAAAAATAGTTTTATTACATCATAAGCATATGAACTAGCAAGTAACGTGTGTGTGGTCTGTTTCAGGATTACACCACTTACTGGATCCACCGTATGTACCACACTCCTTTCTTGTACAAACGTTTCCATTGTGTTCACCATCGATACTATCAACCTACACCGTGGTCCGTGACGGCCATTCATCCTGTTGAAATTATCACAGTACATCTAGGTTTGGTAGCACCAATGTTTACCTTTCCCGTACACTGGTGTAAGTGAAGCACGCCCTGACGAGAAACAACACAGTTGTTACTATTACTATACTATAATAATACTGGCATTCCTGTGGATTCTAGTTCCTTTTTCCGTCATTATGCTGTACTTATACTACCACGGTATCATCCAACATTCGGGTATCAATTTGAAAGCGCGTTGGTGGCAGCCTTGGCAACCGGATGTGATGTTCCACGATATCCACCATCAGTTTGTTCACGTTAATTTTGGATTTAACTGCTACATCTGGGATCAGGTACTTGCCAGACGATGATTGATTGATTAAAAACCTCACCCTTTACGGAATAGTGTCTTAATTAGCTGTACCTCAGACTTGACAATAACTTGTATTTTGAAAAAATTATTCATTTTATGTATAGATTCACGGCACTAATAGGAACGTACCTCAATAAGACCTACTCGAACCCTTTAAAAAATAAAGATGGACAAGGATGCTTTTTCACGGCTACGCATGGATAACGACCATTATTGTTATACCTACAATAATCTAAAAAAGTATTTCTGTAAAAAAGTACATTAAAAAAAATTCTCTATATTAATTTCAAGTAGAAAATGTGGATACTATGTGTATACTATTAAAAATAATGTTTTTTATTTGTAATATTAAAAAAAAATTGTGATCAAGTATCATTCACTCAATCAGGTATCATTTGTTTATAACCATTTTTTTTTTTATATTTATATATATATATATATATATATATATATATATATTTATATGAAATACCAGGTGATTCCTTTAACGCCTTACACTAGTTTACTCTTAAAATAATTACAATTTTTTAGTTTTTCTTTTTGAAAACATTTTTTTTTTACAATATTAGACAACACTCAAATTTTTATCTTTTTTAGTATTTTCTAGGACTTGTGAAACTTTCGAAACTCAAACGGTAACGTATATATTTTATTAAAATATAAAAGTAAGAATGATTTGCTGAACATGTTGACTGGTCAATAACTAGTTTTGAATGAATAGTTTTAAAGTTTTAAATTTAGGACAGGAGGAAGGATGATGTGTAGAGTTATTTTTATCTGCGCGCGTTTCTCAGCTGCACTCCACATGCCGTCTTAAATTTTAAACCTAAACAACTTGAAAAATAATTATTCGAAGACTGGTGTTCGACCAATCAATTTATTGGTAAGTTATTCTTAATTTAAAAATTCAATATACTATATATATGTTACCATTTATGTTCTAAAAGTTGATAAAGCTCTAGCAAATAATAAACAAGGTGCAAATTTTAATATTGTCCAGTAATGTACTATAACATTAATAAAAATGTTTAAAAAAAAAAAACACTACAATGATTATATTTTATGTAACGTTTTATTCGAATGATGCACAAATCTGCACGTGATCAATTTATTTCAACACAATATGTCATTTAATTAGACATCATAAAACCATAATTGTGGTATTTGATTAACTTCGGATAATCATCCTGAGAATGAACTATTGTAAAAAAAAAATAAAAATTACACATAGATGTTTCCAAGATAATGACAGCTAGAACAAAAGATCAAAAGCTAGATCAAATGTGTTATTCTTTATTAGTGGACACAAATTGTAATGCATATGATATACATTATTTAGCAAGTGTTATTCAGACTGTGTAGACAATTTGTTTTATTAAAGTGTGACGCAAATGAGTGTGTGTTCGTAAAATATATAAAAAAAGATAAAATATGTTTCTAAAAAAAACTTGTTAAACGAAACACACAATTCGTTTGCATTAAGCAATTTTGTTAGCGTCGAAAATAATAATTGCCTAACACATCAGACACTTTTCGAACAGAATAAGTAGAAAAATCGAATATAATATTATATAATATATCAGAAAATCATTGTTGTTAAGTTTCGTATCAAATGCAAACCGTCAAATAAAATAACAATGTCGTAAGAGTCTTAATGCTAAACTATTGATAGTTATATTTAGTTCTCAAAATGTTGATGTACATGATTCTTAATTTAGTTGACTGTAGCTTTTATTTATAACAGGCGAATGAGTGATGACTGTTGGTTTAAATTTAGCCACACTATTGACTAAAATTGACTATCAAAGAATAGTAATTACATCATCATACATCTACAAAATTTTAAGTAAAAAGTCTATTTCGTGGTAATTTAAAATAAAAACGTTTTAAATTATATGTATTTATTTGTTCATTAGCTATGACTTTGTTAAGATACTACATTTTCTCTTAATAATTATAATGTTTCTTCGGTTTTCCAAAATCGGTAGCACATGAAGTTCATATTTATGTTCGCATTGTCCATTTGGCGATAACACTCCAACAAAAAAAAGTCACTGGTATAAAAGACTTTGAAAAAATGGTAGACAAACGATTCTTATCTACAGATTACCACCTATTCCAACAAAGGTACACAGGTTGGTTTTACAAACCCACTTTGTCAAATTATTTTTGTGCGTGTAATAAAACTACTCGTCTTTGTAGTAACGATTGAAAATATTAAGAAATACAGTAAAAAAATCAAATCTTTATAAAGTCATAACAAATGAACAAATAAATAAAAAGTCAAACGCTAAAATATTTTTTTATTTTTCGTCTACAAATGTATGTAATTAAAAACATATGTTGCCAATAAAAAAACTAAAATCCCCCTTTTTGGCCTGCAAGGATTGGTGATATAAATTTTCAAAATATTGAAAAATATACTACAATGTGTACCAAAAAATCTTGGAAAAAAATATTGTTCAAAATATAAATATATTCCGAGAAAATGAGTGTCTTATCCTTAATGAATCACCCTGTTTATATGTAGCGCATACGTGTTCGTTTATTATTCGTAGGAATGGCAATTTTCTTTCTTATACATTTAACTTATGTCGTTACATTTTCAAACGTTCTAGACCGTGGGACACTTGTGTACACAACAAATTGATAAACCTAGAAATTAAAAATCGAGAAAAACGCCCAATAAATTTACAATTTTTTCAATTTGTACGTGCAATAATTCTTATAGGCGTATGATCCCACGCCAATAAATTTAAAAAAAACATTGAACATAAATCAAGAGCGTGTCGCGAATATTATTGGCAAATAGTGTTGGCGCGTGTACCGAGAAAAGGTAATAAAATCAATACAAATTTTAATACAACATTTTCGAGCACCGTATTCTTTAGTTGGATTTTTCAATCGAATAGTACTACTGCTGTGTTTTAGTTTATACTTTTTGGACGTATTTTTTCCATAATGCATTGGCAAAAGTTGGTTTCCACACTGGTTTGGGCGGCTGTACTTTGTTGCTGTACAAGCATTGTGTCGGGCATGATGGACGGAGCGCAAAGAACGGAAGTGGCTAACACACTAAACATGATGATGCGTCATCGGGGATGGAGGTACATGGAGCACTTAATAAAGACACCCGAAAAAGAAGAAGAAGAAGAAAAAGAAGAAGAAGAAGACGCGGATCCCATTGCGGCAATACTCAGAGCCGTAGGGTCCGGCCGGGAGGTAGTGGACGAATTAAACGTGCGGGAAAAACATAACCAAATCTGGACCGCACTCATGTGCAAGTACGGTGAGATAATATTCAATTACAAGTGTCTGGTGAATCATTTACTAGGTGTTTGCCAAAGCGAAGAACGCACGTCGGTCGAGTCGTTCCAAAGGTATTACTATTGCGTGGACTCGCTGTTGACCAAAATGCACATGGTGGCGCCTATTTTCATGTGCATGAAGGACGCGTTGGGGTACATATACTCGCTGGTGCCGCAGCCGGATTCCTCCACGCCCAAGCCCGGTGTAATGACCGCCATGGGAAGTTTAGCCGAGTACACTAGGACTATAAGGCCGACTTGCTTGGCGAAATTTTCAGAACGTGGCCAGAGTACCGCTGAAACGGTCGAGCTGGAAATAAAAACCATCGGCGAATACATCTCGCAAGTATACGACGACCACGTACAACCTTTCGCCCAACACCAGTGCAACGAACTATCAGAAAACAGAAAATGGACTGCACCCACATTGGTAGAAGATTTCGAGCACAAAAAAAGAACCGGCCAGATACCGGAGGACACCACCATGTTGGAGTATGTCAAAGAGGAAATCGATACTTACCTCAACGAGTTCTTGGGCAAATGGTTCTTCGACCTGGGCTTCGCGTATGGCGTGGGCAACGAAATCTCAATCGGTACTCCCCGAACTACCGGTTTATAATATTTTATAGGGATATTTTTCGATTAAAACAATAATTATCAATGCCTATCGACGAAATGTGTCAACGTGGCATTTTATCTTACAACCTTATTCGTGTACACGTAGTCTAAAATAGTTTAAGTAAACAGTAATAAACATAAAAAAAGTTTTGTGCGTCTGATATAATAGATGTTAAGAAAATATGTATTTTAAAATTAATAAATTCGTCGTACGCAATAAACGGTTGTAATCAAATATGTTTTATAAATAATTTTTAAACCGCGTTTATGGAAAAGTGTGTAAGTTATAGAAAAAAAATCTGAAAAAAGACAAGAGTTTTAACTGGGTTCTCTTGTCGGTTTTTTTCAGAAAACTTAAATTTTACCTTGAATATTTGCACTTGGAAAAGTAAACAAATACCAGAATTAAAATATAATTTGTGAATGTTAGGTTAATAATACAAAAAAAAAAAAGCCGACAAGAAAACATATATGAAGTTCTTATTTTTTTAAATAGAAAAAGGGGAAAATTATAATTTTACCGTATTCAATATCTAGGGTGCTATGTGAGAGCGAATACGTGAAATATATATCCATGTGTGTATAAATTGTAATCAACTGGATAATTAAAATATTTTCAAAAAAACATTTTGGCTGATGACTTCTCAAGATTTTAAAAGAACTGTTATTGCATTTTACTTGTACAATTTTTATATTTTTACTATTATTTTTTTTATGACATACAAGGGTTTTTTTGGGTATATCTTGTAATTTTTTCGTTTGTTTGCTAAGACTTTACAAACACATTACATTTCTCCTTATAATTGTTATAAAATATCTACGGTTTTTTTTTTAAATTTCAGTAGCCTTCTAGAGCCAACAGATAATTTTCTTACATAACATTTTTTATAATGACGGTTCTAAAAATTCAAAATTTAAAAAAAAACAAGGGGTGAACCTAAATGTAGAAACAAATAATAGAAATATACATGATAATAAATAACAACTTAAAATATACGGTAAATATGGATTTTTTATTGGTAATAAAACGATATTGGACATATAATATAATTTATAAGACATATTGTTGTGGAAAATAAGTTGTTGGGAAAATCTGAACATGTAAACATAATGGAAAAGAAACATATACATTAAAAAAAAAAAATACACATAATAATATGAATTTTAAAAATATAACACGGAGCTATGGTGATTCAGCATTATGATTTGAAGTGGTTTTAGCTGTGATTGAACTCAACTTTGAATCTGTGATTTAAAAATTCAATAGAATAGTTTTATATAATAAATATATGTTAACTTATCAATTATGTGTTATAATTACTAATAATGTTATTTACGTTTTCTACAAACATAAATCAAAATCCTAAAAAAGTAAATTTGTAATATAACTTATTCTAGTAACTAGTATGAAACAGCCAAAAAATAAAAAAAATTCCTCATTTGAGGAGTTATTGTAAACAATTATGGTATAATTAAACCTAGTTCACATATAAATTGTCGCTAAGATTAGGTTAAACGTGTGCAGTACGTTCATGTTTTGAATAGAATAATGTAAATAATTCATTGAAGAGCATTGATAAATCTCAGTAATTGTTTTAATTCTTTCACATACACTTGCATCTCTTACAATAATGTTCATTACAAATATTCCACCGTTTTACTATAGAACTACAAACTCAGAATTGTTACCAAAAGAGTGATTAAAAATACGATTTTTAGATAATGTGAATCCATTTATGTTTGTAGGTTTCTAAATTGCTACAAACAATTATTATTATTATTGATGGTTTTTAGACTTTCTTAAAACTTCTTAAAAAATGTATTATAGTATAATATAAGACTTCGGTGTTTATTTATCAAAACAAAAATTAATACCCGTTTGATGTAATGACAAATAACTCACTTGTTTCAGGTTTTTGGGGGTTTTTGGCTGAAAAATGTAAAAAAAAAAATTACTTTTGATACTTTTATGCAAACCAATATGAGTGAAAATATCAGGGGCGTTTACAAAAGGGGGTTGTGGGGTGATCATTGGATCATTGGATATTTACTTGTTTATATACCTATGTTTACTGACTGATCAGAAAACAGTATTCGTTTATATGAGGATAGATAAATGTCCACGGCTGTGTGAAAAGGGTTTTATGACGATTATGTTTTTACAAATACACGACACAAACTGGTAGTAAGTGTCGGTCTAAAATAAGTTAACATAAAATTAAACAATATCAATTTTAATAATACATTAAAACGAAACACAGCCCATTTACAAAGCGTAAAGTATAGGCATTTTTTTACTAAACCTCAATTTAGTACAGTAACGAGGACACTCCATTGATTGCCATTTGTTTGGCCAGACATCACAGTCATTTTCTCCCATCAAACCGGTTATGAGTACGATTTTTAGATAATGCGATTCCAATTATATTTGTTACAAGTATAAATAAAAAATAATTATGTTAAACATTGAAATATTCGGATAAATTATATTCCTGTTGAGTTATGCGTTGTATTTGAAAATTAATAGTGTAATAATAAACAATATTCTACTAAATATTTGAACAGTAAAAAGCGCTCTTACCTTGCTTAGATAAAGCTGGAGGACACATATGAACCTGTGCTGTTACGGCATCCATGGATTACGCACTGGAAAAAATAAAAAAACAACAATTGATATGTTGCTTTACATTGTTGGATAAAACAAACCGAAGTACCCCAAAAAATATTATTGCTAATTTTTATACAACCTGCCATTTATAATTAAAAGTTACTACATTGGACAAAAAAATTAAAATATAAACTCCTCTTCCTTTAAAACTGAAATAAACAACTAAAAAGATAATATACAATAAGGATGTTTGTTAAAAACATATATTAGTAGTATCCTTGGTCTATATTGTTGTGAATTGTACCTATTCAACACCTTGTAAGATAATTGGCGTTAAAACACAACTTTTCGACACCTACCTGCTGCTTGGATGATTTTTTTTGTCGTAGTTTCTGATGTAGTAATTTTTCTCTCTTCTAAAAGACTGGTTATATTATTGCCTGAGAAAAATTAATAAATTACCGTGTTACTCATAAGCAATAAGAATAAAAACCAGCTCAGTCAAAACCAAGCACAGTCCAAACCAAGTACGGTATAAATCAGTATAGAAGAAGTAAGCAACGTTGGGTCAAAGAAATGATTGAATCTGAATGTGATTTTGTCACAATCGATCGCTTCGATGCGACTTTAGAAATAGTAAGTATAAACCATCACATTTCAACCAAAAGAAATTTGTTAATTTCGAAAAATGTTGTTTATATGGTTACCTTCTAGGTTATGCGTTGTATTTGGAAATACTAGTGTAATAATAATCAATATTCTAAAAACTGGTAAAAAGCTTAAAGCGATCATACCTTTCGTTGTTTTTGGTTTAGGTGTTGATATTGGAGCTAAAAAAAAAATATTACATTTTTTTTTAGGTGGTTTCAAAACTTTTGTTTTAAACTATATATATTTACATATTATAAGTTATTAAAATAAAAATATGTATCCAGTATCTAACACTTGGCTGGCTTACAAATGAGGCATAAAACAGACTTGGCCACAATCACTTCTTTGATAGGCTGGCTTTTTTGGGAGGGAGTCTAGAAATGTGTTCTATTTTTCTAAGTTTTCCTATTTCCATTATGTAACTCCTATTTGAGTACGCCTGACACTGATGTTTTATGTCTTATTCAGAAACCGGCCAAGTACTGAGCAATAAAAATAAAAGAACAGTATTGTTCAGGAAAGTAGGAGTGGAAGAAATTGTAAGAAATATAATGTATTTCAATAATACATGTGTTAAGATTGTTCTAAAATTTGTCATGGCGTTATTATTGTTCAGTTCTAAAAAAATTTGGATAAATGCTATTCTTGTTGGGTTATGCTTTGAATTTGAAAATGAATAGTGTAATTATAATTAATATTCTACAAAATATGTGTACTGATAAAAACCGCCCATACCTGCTTTAGGCTTTGATGTAATTGGAGGTGGCTTAGGTGCTACAAAAACATATATGTATATTATCAACAGTTTCTAAACTTTTCCTAAAACTATTTTAATGTATTATTATTATTATTATTATTATTACAAGTTATTACAATTAAAGATACATAATAACACAAATGTTTTGTTTTAGCAATAAGTTTATTCGTAATATAAAAATTAAAGATAAAATGTTATAGTACTCTGAAAAAAATTAAAAAGATACAAATTTAATGTTGTCTTAAACTGTTTAATAATTAATCCACGTGTCTCAAAAAAAAACTACAAAATTACATTATTATAAAAAAAAAAATGCGTCTTACGTTAAATTTATAACGCTATATGTATCACTTTTAGAAAATATGTTTCCAAAAATATTTGTTTTAAAACAAAAAAAAAGTTGCTATGTGTTTTACTTGTAAATGAATAGTGCAATAATAATCAATATTTTACAAACTATGTGTACTGGTAAAAAACGATCATACCTTGTATCTCTTCAGTAGCTGGTCGAGGTACACAAAAAAAAAAATTACTAGTGGTTTTAAAAATTTTGTTTAAAAAAAGTTATGACACTTAATAGTATGTATCAAACATGACTATATATGATACAAATATGTAAAACAAATAATTTATTCAATACAATGTAATATACATACGAGTAGTGTAACCATCGTCTTCTACAACAATTAAAAAATAAAAACATATTAAACTTCCATCGTTTATTGTATCATAATTAACCCACCAAAACCCTAACCGTTAAAAAAGGGCCAACTTTTGACCTCTCCCAAAAGGTATCGAAGTGGTGATGTTTACATTGTGGCTAAGTCTGATTTTTCTTTAGTCGATAACCTCACCTTACTCCTTCTTTCATGAGCAACACCAGTGTTTTATTTCTATTGCCACTAGGCCGTTTTCCGAATGATACATAAGACTGACTTGACCATTTTGTAGACATACATCACTCATATTTTACAAACTATTTGTACTAATTAAAAAACGCTCATACCTGGTTTATCTTCAGGAGCTGGTCGAGGAACAAACAGATGTATTATTAGTAAGTTGTTTAACTGTCGTTTAAAATTATCTTTATTTATTATAATTTATTAAAATTAAAAGTATGTATCAAACATGGCTTATAATAAATGGAAATATATATATATATATATATATAAATATAATAATTTAAATGCAGTTTACATACGTGTACTATAACTACTCTCCGCGACGTTTCCTACAACATATTTTGTTACAAAAAAAAAAATCATTAGCAGATTTATAAAGATTTGATTTTTTGACCGTATTTCTTACTATTTTCAATCGTTACTACAAAGGCTAGTAGTATTATTACACGCATAAAAACAATTTGATAAAGTGGGTTTGTAAAACCAACCTGTGTAAATCGCCAAATTGACAATGCGAACATAAATATGAACTTTATGTGCTACCGGTTTTGGAAAACCGAAGAAACATGATAGTTTTTAAGAGAAAATGTAGTATCTTAACAAAGTCATAGCTAATGAGCAAATAAATGAAAATTCAAACGCTAAAATATTTTTTTATGTTTTGTCTACAAATGTATGTAATTGAAAACATATGGTGCCATTAAAAAAAACTAAAATCCCCCTTTTTGGACTTCGATGATTGGTGATAAAAATTGTTAAAATATTGAAAAATATAGTACTATGTGTACGAAAAAATCTTGGAAAAAAATATTGTTCAAAATATTAATTTATATTCCGAGAAAATTAGTGTCTTATTCTTAATGAATCACCCTGTATAGGCCTCGAGTATATTATGTTTTAAAATAAATAAAAACCAACAATTTTAATATAAGTAATATTCTAATTGATAGTACCTGTTTTTTATATTAAAAACAAAAAAAAAATAATAATAGTTATACCGCTACATTTATCGTTTTCAAATTTTTATTCTAAATTTAGATTTGCTTAAAAATAATATAGTTACAATTTTTTTGTTTTTTTAAATATATATATAAATTAAAGTTCTGAATTTTTTTAACAACTGGTGGAAAAAATAACTCTAAGAGTTTAAAAAAAATCTAAGACCACACTGGCGTTCAGAAATTAATTTATTTTCGTATTAAGATTTCTTTTTTTTTTAATTAGAAAAAATAATTAATTTACCTTCCATTCCATTAACAGCTGAAAAATACATTTTAATATAATATTGACAAGTATTAGTAGTTTTGTAATATTATAATATTTATTTTAGACATTAAAAAAAAAACAGTTTTCATACTAATTACCTGAATTTATTGCCAAAATAACAAAAGCTATTGTCGAAAGAAAAAGGGTTCTTTTGAAATCCATACTTCAAATCTATAATTATTCAAATGGATATACTTAATGAAACTAAATGAGCTTTAAAGCCAGACCTTAGTTTTTAGATTGAAAGTGAATACCACCGTGCAAAGTATAAAGAGAGTCGAATACTATTATAAAGCGATATGCTTAGCTAGGTACCCCGATGTATACTTTTTATGTTTACACTGTACAGCCGAGTTGAAAAAAACCACAGTATTTACACTGGTTGCATCTATATGTAATATTATAACGTACAACAACTCGTTTGAAACCGACGACTTTATTATTGTGGGTAAACATTTTTAATAAAAAATCTAAACGTAGTACAATATTTTTTTTGTCTGACGACAATTACAACCAGGCCCCTAACACTAATAACGATTAACACGGGGAAGATACCTATCACACAAAAACGCAGCGGCTATTTTTATAAGGCTTCACCGCCAGTTATATCTACTATACTCTATAGTCAATGTTTAAGTATTCCGTCTTAATGGTTTTTCTTAAAAAAAAAAAAAATGACTATATAAGGCATTTCGAGGTGTTTATTTATGTTTTTAAAAGTATTGTAACAAGTACGAATCTGTACACGGTAGGAATACAGATGCCGATAAAAGCACTGTCATGACAATAATGTGCTGAAAATTATAATTTCAATAAAAGCAATGTCACAGGAAAAGGACAATTCATTGTCCTGGGCTGAAATATTTTTTTAAATCCGTATAAAACTACACGAAAATGCAATTTTTTAATTTAAAAGATATATACGAGTATAGACTATACAGTTTTTTTTTTGGTTATTAAGGTAGTGGTTTTATAATGATTTTTTTAAACGTGTATCGTTTGGCTTCACTACAAATACCATTGTCTTGTGCGTCATACTTTCATAAAGCTGTTTCTACATTGTCTGAATAATACTTACTAAATATTGTATGTGATCGGTTATTTTTCCACACACACATACATTTATTTATATATATTTATAGATTTTAATATAAGATAAAATATTATTTCATTGGTAAACGACCCCTATATTCTGTATAATTTTATTAAAAATGTATTGAAATTTTAAACAGTATATAAGTACCTATGTGCAATATGTTCTATGACAATAAATAGTTTAACTATAAAAAAAAAAAAAAAACCCATATACAATAATATCAATTTCAACTTTATTGATTAAAAAATAATTAAAACGCGTATAACAGTAGATTTTGTACTTAAAAGAACGATAAAATGTAGATTTTTAAGAAATTTGGGTACTTTTACAAACATAACTTGCACTTAAAAACATATCTGCACACAATTATTAAATGCAACAAAATTCATAACTATAAAATGTCTCATAAGACTGTATGCACACAAAAATACTTGCAGCCGATTATAAGATGCAATATGTAAATTATAAAACGCAGCCCTTGGAAACTCATCGTTTACGTTGGGCGTACTCGATACTAATGGATAGTTAGAATAACTTGAAGTCTGGTGTTCACTAATAGTTCAATAGGAGTCATTGTGTTGTGTTTCTACGGGAAGCCATAAGGGCAACTCCGAGCACACTGGATACTGTTGGATAATTTATGACACTTAAGTAATTATAGTAGTGTCTATAAGGATAGCTTATCTGCGGAGTCCTCCCGGAGCGGGGTAATGATCGATCCTTAAGACCAGTAACCTGGTGTGGGATCAAAGCGTGAATAACTTTGTTTGTAGATGAGTTATAGATAGTAGCCAAAAGTTGCTATCAAAAAAACTAAGTTGGGAGGGGAGTAAAAACAAAACAAATTGTGAAAAATTGAAATCACATTGTATAACAACAATATGAAAAAAAACAATTTTAATTTCTTATTAAAATTCTATGAGATATTGAGTGGTTCATGATAAAAAAATCACCCTGTACACATACATATGCTGAGTATGACTTCATCTAAAGATACATAATTTGTATCATCATATTCAGTACCTTAAAATAGACGACTGATTTATAGTAAGCATGACTGTATTTCTCTAGAAAAATTAACTTAATCTACAAAAACTACTACTCCAAGATTGTCGATAGACCAGAAACAACTAACAAGGTATGTGGAAAAAAACTTATCACAATAGTATTAGAGTAATAGTATAGATGAAAAAAATTAGGGTAGCTTAGAACACATCCGCACAGTTGACAGCCAAAGATTGACACAAGATAAATAGAAGACAACGTTAATATCACAAGCAGGTTTAAAAAATGTATGTGATTTTTATTTGTATTATACGATGCTATATATATATATATATATATATATATATTCTTAAATCGCCAGAGTAAACCGTTCAGTCTTGATCATTGATACGATTTTTTAACCTACTATAATACCATTTTTTGAAAACAATTTATATACTGATTTATTATTATACAATTTAAAAAGCGAAAACATAATAAATTTTGTAGAAAAATCGAAAAGCATATTAATTTTATGATTTAAAAGCAGATGACAACTGCCATTTTTATTATTTAATTTTGATACTACATCTACAATAGCTTCCAATTTCAATTACTCTACACTGATGATTGGTGACCACAACCTTAAATAAATTAATTTGATTCGTCTAATATAAATAAAAGAATATTTTGTGTCATTTCTTTGTGTAGTTTATATTTATATAAACTAGACAACAAAAACTCATATTTTTTTAAATAAAAAAAAACACATACACCCATTACACTACGAACTTGGGTGAACATAACTTACAATGTTATATTCAGCCAGAAATAATAATATGGTCTACAAAGCCAAAGGTTATATTGTTATATAAAATACATTTTTTTTCATAGTCTATATAAATCCGAAATTGTATAAGAAAGAAAGAACATTAATGGGTGAATCTAGATTAATAAATAAATAGTTGAAGTATGCTACATAATAAATAACAACTTTAAATATTCGGAAATATGGATTTTATTATTACACGGTATTGTACATATAATATAATCGATAAAATTATATTATTTTGAACACAATCTAAATAATGACAATTAAAAATCTACATTTAAAAAAAAAGTCCAAAAAAACACAAAATATTATGAATTTTAATAATATTGTAACACGGAGATGTGGTAATTCAGCATTGTAGTTTGAAGTGGTTTTAGCTGTGATTGGAAATAAACTTTGAATCTGTGATTTAAAAATGTAACACAATTGTATTATATAAGAAATGCATGTTAATTTATCAATTATACGACATAATAACTAATAATGTTACTTACGTTTTTTAGTAGAACTTATTCTAGTTTGATGTGGAACCGCCTAAAACAAAATAAATACCTCATATTAATTATTGTAAAAAATTATGGTCTCATTAAAACTAGTTTACATATGAATTATTGCTAAGATTAGGTTAAACATGTGCAGTATGTTCATGTTTTGAACACAATAATGTAAATAATTTCCCCAAAGAGCATTGATAAATCTCATAAATTCTTCAAATTCTCTTACACAAACTTGCATCTTTTACAATAATGTTCAATCTAATTAGTTTCTCGAGATTATTGAAAATGTTAAATTATAAATTGTTTTATCAATGGTGTTTTCTATCAATCTTGTGCCAACCTTCAGAATTTTTTGTAATGTTTCCTTTTTATTTAATCATTAGGTCGTTATTTTACTACCTTGGCCTCGAAACCAATATTCTTCTCAAATGACTTCTAATCCAAACTTTTTTCTCTTTTTTATATAATTTTCTTTGACTTAATAATAATACCTGTGAATGACTCCTGAACTGACCGTTCGCTGCTATATAAATTATTCGAACGAACCATTTTTTTGTCTACGTGAGTTCTATAGATTTGTTTATTATTATTTAGTTCATTCTTAACTCGCGTTTAACTCCCATTGAATACATGTTTATCACGTAAATAGTTTAAGTATAGAAAGATAATACTTTGGTGTTTCTTTATCAAAACAAAAATTAATACCCATTTTATGTAATGACAAATAACTTACTTGTTTCAGCTTTGTCTTTGGCTGAAATAACGAAAAAATAATAATTTATGTCCACGGCTAAGTGAAAAGTGTTTAATGACGATTATGTTTTTACAAAGACACGACACAAACTGATAGTCAGTGTCCATCTAAAATTAGTTAACATCATTTTAAACAATATCAATTTTAACAACATATTTAGAGGAAGCAACTCAGCCTATTTCTTAGGAGTAAAGTATAGGCAATTTTTTACTAATATTAATTTAGTAAAGTAACGAGGATACTATATTGGTTGCCATTTGTTTAGTCCGAAATCACAGTAATTTTTTCCTATCAAAACTACTTCGCCCGTGACAAGTATGTGAGGTCAGTATTAATATAATATTTAAATACATAAATAAGAATATTGTTATTTCTCTTTTTTATATTACCCTTTTTTAATTGCGCTTCTTTATTACAAAGATCTAACTCCATCATTAACCTATCACTCTCTGAAAAAAAAAAATTTTAATGTTGTCTTATACTGTTGAATAAAACAAACCCAAGTATCTCAACCGGTCATTTACAATTAAACGGTAATATATTAAACCTAACATTTAAAATATAAGCTCCTCTCTCTTTAAATTAAAAAAAAAAAAATACCAAAAAAGATACTATACAATAAGGATAATTGTTAAAAGAAGAGATTAGTTGTATCCTTTATATATTGTTTTGATGTTCCCTGTTGAACATTTGAGGGATAATTGACGTTAAAATAGATCCCATAAAAAAGATTCTAACCATAATGCAGCTAATGGTTGGTACAAGATAATAAGATAATGAGACATCTTAATGAACATATATTAATTATTATTATTATTATTGAAACAAAATTATTTTTATAAATCAATTGTTTTTAATGATATAACATTTTATTATATATATATATATATATATATATATATATTATATATATATATATATATATATATATATATATATATATATATATATATATATATATATATATATATATATATATATATATATATATATATATATATATGTATAAAATATATATTGGTTTAACACTATTAAAACTCTTTACCACATACCTGTTGCACGAATAATTCTTTTTTTTAATTCTTGTTCAGTTTTAATTTCTCTCTCTTTTAAAAGATTGATCACATTTTTACTTTCTGCAAAAATTAAATAAATTACCGTGTTGCTAATAAGTGATAAAAATAAAAAATATCACAGCCCAAGCCAAGTATAGTATAAATCAGTATCGACGAAGTAGCAAATAAGGGTCAAAGAAATTATTATAACTGCATGTGATGTTGTCACAGTCAAGCGCTTCGAGGACAATCATTAGGTAAGCATCCAGCATAGTAAAACCAAATAAATAACATTCATTTCTGAATAATTTGTATACACGCTCTACCATTTAGGTTGTGCGTTGTAGCTAGTGATGGAAATCCGAAATTCGGATTTGTCAAAAAAACGCTTTTTAAGTCATTTGAAAATCATATAATTGTTAAATACTATTACAATATAAAGACGTGTACCTAAGTAAAATTTGTTGATAAAAATTTTAAAAAAAACTCTTAACTTTGTCTATAAAATGCTTTCGGATTTCGGATTCCAGATTTTCGGATTTCAACAAATCCGAAATTCAAAAGCAGTTTATCTCTTTGGTGTTTTGTTTTATTTTCACATATTTATCAAAAAAATGTTACTTAGATACAGAGCTTTATATGGTAAAATTATTTAACATTTATATGATTTTTAAGTAGCTTAAATAGCGTTTTTTTGTGAAAATCCGGATTTTCCGATTCCCATCACTAGTTGTAGCTGTAAATTTATAGTGTAATAATAATCAATATTCTATAAAACTATGTGTACTGGTAAAAAGTGCTTATACCACGTTTTATTTCCGGTACTCCCGTTTGAACGACGGGGGGTGTTGTTAATGTTTGGCCTAAAGAAAAAAATATTATTAGTGGTGTTTAAACTTTTATTTTAAACTATATTGGTTTACCTAAGTTCTAAAATTAAAAATATGTATCAAACATGATTTTATACATATATATGTGTAAATTTAGTAAATAACAAATTTAACAGTGATAATCAATAAGTACAAATGGTGTGTCATACCTGGCCTATGTGGAGTAGGAGGAGGACCGGTATGTCTTTTATTAGCTCCTACAAAATGTTTTTATTATTAACGGTTTTCTTTTCTTAAAACTATATAAATAAACACTATTAAGCTTTATTATTATTATTGAAACAGATATGTTTTCTTTCATTTTAGTTAATATAATTCACGGTCATAATGTTGTCTCTACCCAGAACCCAGAATTATCTTATGTACAAATATTTTGCTATTTTACAATGATTAGTTAATTATGTCCTGTTATATTTTACATTACAGGTTAACCGTTTACAAATATTCAACCATGATATAATAGAACAAAAATATGTAGAACTCCTACGAAAAGTATGATTACATCTGTATACAGGCGGTTCAATTTAGGAAGTCATTTTTTGGTGTGTGCATCTATTGGATGGATTTCAATGATTCTTTTTCTTATTTGAAGCTTACTATTTTTTCTATAGATGCTAAAAGGCCGATTTTTAATATTGTAATTAGAAAATTAGTGAGATTTTTTAGAAAAAACTTAAAAAAAGTAAAAATATAAATGCTTTTACAGTTTTTTTGAAAACAAAAATAAACAATCGGCCGTTTGCTAAAAGGCCAAAAAAAAATGTTACTAAAAAAAATAATTGTTGAAATCTGTTCGGTAAACACTAGAAAGTAAATTCGTGTTAAGGTCTTTATTTGGAAAACATTTTATGCTTTTCGTTCTCTTTAATATAAAAAATGAAATGAAAATTCAATTAAGTTTTAAAATTGTATAGCGCTCTGGAAAAAATTTAATTTTAAATTTTGCCTTATTTTGTTAAGTAAAACTTAAAAGAAACCCATGTCTACAAAAAAAAAAAAAAAAAACAACAATTATTTTAAAAGAGAATACGTGTCTTAGTTAAATTGATCACACTGTTACATTGTATACAATCTCAATATTTTAGGTTATGTATTGTATTTGTAAATTAATAGTGTAATAATAATCAATATTTTACAAACTATGTGTACTGGTAAAAAAACGATCATACCTTGTATCTCTTCAGTAGCTGGTTGAGGTACCAAAAAAAATTATTAGTGTTTTTACAAATTTTGTTCAAAAAAAGTTATGACATAGTATGTATCAAACATGACTATATATGATACATATATGTAAAAAAAATAATTTATACAATACAATGTAGTATACATACGAGTAGTGTAACCATCGTCTTCTACAACAATTAAAAAATAAAAACATATTAAACTTCCATCGTTTATTGTATCATAATTAACCCAACAAAACCCTAACCGTGAAAAAAGGGCCAACTTTTAACCTCTCCCAAAAAGTTCAGCATATCGAAGTGGTGATGTTTACATTATGGCTAAGTCTGATCTTTCTTTAGTCCATAACCCAGTGGTGGTTCTGGCATTAAATTGTTGAGGAGGCAACAACTTTCTACCCTTATTGATAAAAAAAAGCGCAAAACCCCCCAGACCTAAAATTTCTTCATACTGGTATACTTCCCTTTTTATCTGTAAGAGAAGAATTTTGCTTATTATCCTAGTTATTAGTTATAATCGCATTACCGGTCATCTATTTAAATAATTATCATTAAAATGTACGAACTTAAGATAAATGTATAATCATAAAAACATATGTAAATACAATTTACAAAAGATGAAATTATAATCGCAAACGATTTCCTGTATGGATGCTGCTTAATAACCACTATACTGTCATATACAGGATTCATTTTGAAAAAAAAAATAAAGCTAATAAGTATAATAATATATTAACTAATAACTTAAGAAAACTAAATAAAACGCCAAATAGTAAACCGGTATCAGAATTAAGTAAAAAATATAGTGATATCAAAATTCAAATTGGGACTGCTGATAAATAATTTAGTGATAATGGGAAATGGCGTTTTGTTGTTGGCAATGTCGGTGCTGATGTACATGCTGAATGTCTATGTCCCATTTCTTCCCCAAGATAAGAACGATCATCGGTCAGTTGCCCACAAAGGCAATATTTTTGTGTCGCCTCTCGCAGAGAATTGCGCATGCGCTATTCGTATTATTTTATTCATGTGTGTGTGTGTATGTTGTGAACACAACAACATAACGTGAGACATTAGCGGCAGCCGCCTCCGCCGGCTGCCCTTATTCCACGTGAGTAACAACAGGCAGCGGCCGGCGGACGGCGGCCGTTGCTTTCAGACGGTCACCACTGATACGGAGAGACGTTATTTCAAATTCTTAAATTTTTTTTTTCGCTTTCAAAAATTATTGTTCATATACATTTTTTCCAATATTTTCAATTGAAAATATTTAATGTAAACCAAAATATCTCATCATAATAACAATATTAAGTACATAGTTTCCTCAATTTTCAAGGGAGGCACCGCCTCCCTTGCCTCCCCGGGAAAACCGCCCCTGCCATAACCTCACCTTACTCCTTATTTCATGAGCAACACCAGTCTTTCATTTCTATTGCCACTAGGCTATTTTCCGAATGATACATAAAACAGACTTGACCATTATGTTGGCATACATCACTTCGATTTGTATAAATGCTCTTATAGTTTATGCGTTGTATTTGTAAATTTGTAGTTTATATCAATATTTAACAAACTATGTGTATTAATTAAAAAACGCTCATACCTGGTATATCTTCAGGAGCTGGTCGAGGAACAAAAAAATGTATTATTAGTAGGTTTTTGAACTGTTGTTTAAAATTATCTTTATTTATTATAATTTATTACTTTTAAAAGTATGTATCAAACATGGCATATAATATATGTAAATATAATAACTTAAATGCAGTTTACATACGTGTACTATAATTACTCTCCGCGACGTTTCCTACAACAATATTTTGTTACAAAAAAAAATGATTTTAAACTTTAGTTTTAAACTATATTGATTTACCTGAGTTATAAAATTAAAAATATGTATCAAACATGACATTTTTATATACATGTATAAAAAATAATAATCAAAAATCTACAATTGTTGTGTAACGGTAAAAAGGGAACCCTTTCCCGACCCCTAACCTAAAAAATTCAGTTCGTCAAAGCAGTGATATTCATATTGTGGCTAATTTGGCCGTTACTTTAGTGCTCATAATCTGACTACACCCCTACTTTTATTACCAACACTGGGACATTCAGGATGGTCTATGGGCACTGTTTCGACTGAAGGTGTAAGTGTAGGTTTTAATAACGCTACAAAATGAGTTGTCGCAATGTCAAGATAATGTTCATTGAACATGAACTAGTAATGACAATATGTATAGAATTTTAGCATACACTTTGATTTTAAATATAGTATAAATTACAATTAAGGAAGAAAGCACGTAACAAAATAAACAAAGACCGTTCGACGAGCTCCCGGAGAGTTAGGGAGATTTCTATTGCCTTGCAAATCCGTAAGTCTGCCCTGGGAGGGTTTTACTACAACACCAAGTAAAAGACTTGAATTAACAATTTTATTTTTTAATTCAGTGGTGTCCTTAGAATTATTTTATATTAAATATTCAGCATCCTAAATGTCTCATTGAAGCTCGATAGAACTTAACTTTACACCCACTATATTTCTAATTTTAATAATTAACAAATGTAAGAGTAATTATTATTATATTATTAATAATATAAGATGTAAAATAAAACAGCGGTTTTATAACCGCTAGTGTATTTATTTGTGTCGAATATAAAATTGATATTATTATTCAACTTATTACTTATCGGATTCGGGAGCGGTTAAAAACATATAAGTGTTCAATATTATTAAATAGTTGTTTGAATAAGATTTCAGTAAAAAAAAAAAAAAATAGTTCTAAGACAAAGCAAACGGAAAGTCAATTAAAAAAAAATTATATAGTATTTATTAGATAATATAATCAAACCAGGGAGAGTAAATTAAAAACTAAATTTAATTTAGAAGTTTTTGGATTTTTTTAAATTTCATAGATTTTTGCGTAACGAAAATGCTTTTTAAAACTAAAAATGAAAGTTGTCACTTAAGTTATAGCCGTTAAGTATTCACATTTATAGTGTGAATGACAAAAATTATTAATTTGATATTATACATAGGCCTCGAGTATATTATGTTTAAAAATAAATAAAAACAAACAATTTTAATATAAGTAATATTCTAAGTGATAGTACCTGTTTTTTATATCAAAAACAAAAAATAAAAATAATAATTATACTGCTACATTTAATCGTTTTAAAATTTTTATTCTAAATGTAGTTTTTCTTAAAAATAATATAGTTACAAATTTTTTTTTTTATATAAATTAAAGTTCTTAATTTGTTTAATAACTGGTGGAAGAGTTTTGAAAAAATCTAAGACCACACTGGCGTTCAGAAATTAATTTATTTTCGTATTAAGTTTTCTTTTTTTTTAATTAGAAAAAAGAATTAATTTTAATGTTAATTTAAAACTTACCTTCCATTCCATTAACAGCTGAAAAATACATTTTAATATAATATTTACAAGTATCAGTAGTTTTATAATATTATAATATTTATTTTAGACATTAAAAAAAAAAACAATTTTCACACTAATTACCTGAATTTATTGCCAAAATAACAAAAGATATTGACGAAAGAAAAAGGGTTCTTTTAAAATCCATACTTCAAATCTATAATTTTTCAAATGGATATACTAAATAAGTTTTTAGGTTGTACCTTAACTGTTCGATTAAAAGTGGAAATTAACACCAACGTTAAGTACTAAGAGAGTCCACTCTGTAAGAAAGCGATATGCTTAGATAGGTACTCTGTTACTGATACTTATAGGTACAGTATACTTGAGAATGGAGCCCATTTCTGTGTTTGTGTAGCAAACAAACGTTTTCGAATTGCAAACATACCGTATTTTGTTGTTAAGATTTCAAAGTAAAATTTTAAATAGACGGCCGGGTTTTGGGTGACGCAAAACCGATGTTATCCACTTTTTATGTTTACACTTTACAACCGAGTTGAAAAAAAACGAAAATAGGTGCACAGGTTGCATCTATATATAATATCATAATATACAAGTACAAATCGTTTGAAATCGACGACTTTATGGTGAATAGAAATTTTTATAAAAATTCTAAGCGTAGTATGATATTTTTGGTTTTTGACAAAAATTACAACCAGGCCCCTAACGCTGATATCAATTAACACGGGGAAGATATACACTGGTTATAAACTATTGAAAGAAAAAATAGAGGAAAACAAAATTAATCAATTAAAAAATAAATAGGGTGGTTATAATTTTCCTTTGCCACAAAGATTGGGTAGTATTGTTATTACTAGAGGGAGAACACTGATATCTGGCGGCCGGCCTTTTGGTTGGCTTTGGTCCCTTAGTATCTCGGATCTTTTGAGAACTTTGAAGGGGCATCCCTCTAAAATGGGACCAACGGTCGCGACCGTGATGCTTAGCAAATGGTCCACCCTGTCGTCGCTCTTTTGACGAGCTCGGGGCTAATTTGAATTACCACTGATGTTCTCAAAGTCCTCTAAAAGATAGTAGTGTTGTATGGTATACAGGGTAATTTTTTATCATGGGCCACTCAATATGTCACTGAGTTTATATAATAATTGAATTTTTTTTTTCATAGTGTTTTTATATAATGTGATCTCAATTTTCCACAAATTATTATGTTTCTACCCCCTCCCAAATTAGTTTATTTTAATGATAAATTTTGAAACTTAAATGGTAACGTATATATATTTTTCATTGTCACGTTATATTATTACTGTGGCATAGGTAACGGGAACGTGCCTCCAGAAAATGTTATTTCGAGAAAAATTAGTTTTATTAATTTGTTATTATAATATGTAATTTATTTTACCCTAATGGTTACATACAATTAAATACGATGTGTTTTCAAAGTTAATGATGCATGGATAAGAATTTTGAAAATTAAGTTAAAGTTTATACTAAAGTTAAAATCTAACTATAGTAATATTGGACCAGGATTTTCCGCGATAAAAAAAATGTATACAATTTTAAGACATCAACATTTTTGCTGTTGGCTAACTTGCGCCTTATAGCATCACATGTGTCGTGTAAATAATGGCTTTATACTAAATATATTTGTAATTTCTAAAAACACAACAACTAAAAAAAATTTAATACATTAGACAAGCTGTCGTGAAAACGTACATTTTATCCGGCTAATTGGTCCTATCCTGATAATTATTTGATTGATTTCAAGTACATAAAAGCGAAAAGCCAGTGCAGTGAGATCAGGAGGTAAGGATTTGGACGATTTAATAATATATTTTATTAATTAACCTAACCTAACCTAGAAATCGACTATGGTCAATGTTGAGTATTCCTTTTTATGGTTTTTTTTAATAAAAAATAAACAATTTGACAACTGATTTTCGATAAAACGACTCGTGCGGGTGATCCGAAGCCAAGTTAAAATTATTACAAGTCGAATGAAAAACCTGAAAAAGATCAAATTTTCTTTTGGCTATTCAATCGACAAAACAATATATGGATTTATCGGATTGTATTTTTAAGTTTTTGTGTGTGCGCGCTTACTAGAAAAAAAATTTATATTGAAATTGTATAAAATAATATTTCATAAGTCGACAACTTTCACTAAACAGACATTTTTCTTTTTAACGCATTTCAAGGTGTTTGTTTTTGTTTTAAAAAGTATTGCAACAAATACGAATCTGTACACGGTAGGAATACAAATATCGATAAAAGCACTGTCATGACAATAATGTGCTAAACATTTGAATTTTAATAAAATCAATGTTACATTTAAAAGGGGCCCGAAATTTTTATGTTTACACTGTACAGCCGAGTTGAAAAAAAACCATAGTAATTCCACAGATTGCATCTATATATTATAAAATTATAACATACAAAAACTCGTTTGAAACCGACGACTTTATTATTGTAGGTAAAATTGTTTAAAAAAAATTCTAAGCATAGTACAATATTTTTTTTTTTGTCTGACGAAAATTACAACCGGGCCCCTAACACTGATAACGATTAACATTAACATGTAACGATAGCAACAATGTGCTGAAAATTGTAATTTCAATAAAAGCAATGTCATATTAAAAGGATAGGAAACGGACAATTCATTGGCCTGGGCTGAAATATTTTTCTAAATCCGTATACAACTATATGGAAACGAAATTTTTCAATTTAAAAGAAATATTATACGAGTACAGACTATACAGTATTTTTTTTTTTTTTGTTAGTTTTATCGAAATGCATAAGTCGAACGTTGAATTTTACAAGTCAACATACAATTTGGCGTAGAATACCACATGTGTTTCGGGTGTATTCGTTTGAGCCGAGGTTAAATGACAAAAATGTGTCAACACCAACAGTGAAAATAATATTTAATAGTATACAAAAACGACACATACCTAGCCGAGCATATTATTCTCACTGATATGCGACCAAATAGCCGCAGATTATGGGGGTAATAAGAATTAAAAAAAATCTATATATATATATACATATAGTTTGTAGTAAAGCTGAGCGCCTCCTTTAAAAATCTTGACAGCGTTTGCTCGAAAAACAAAATACATATTAACCGTGTTGATAATTTATTGAAACATTTTTTATTTATATAAATGATTTATGAATTTATAGAAACTTCTAATTATTATAAAGTTCTAATTATACTGATTTTCCAGTACCTACGTTGATAAACAAAAAGAAAATAAACTCGATCACATTTTTCTTTTTTCATACTTTTATAAATGAAAGTTAGTCCAAAATTGATGTATTTTTGTATCAATACAATGCCATCCATTGTGTGTTAAACCCCAATAAATTAAGTAATATTTTGTTGTAACAGTCTCGGTCGAATATTCTCATTATTTTCTCAAACGACCTTTAGAATCGAATATCGATGCTATAGCTGAACAGGTATTGGTTTTATAATGATGTGTTTTTCAACATGGATATGTTATTGGGGGGGGGGGTCAATCGGAGAAGGAGAAATCTTTTGGGTAATCCGACACCGGGAATCGATAGTGGCGGTAGGGTTACCGGTTAGATAGGGTTTTGAGGCCCTAGGACCACTCCAAGACCGATTTATCGACGAAAACGACTATTTTACTCAAATAGTAGTAGTTTATGTTCATACTCCTCCTCTTCGACGGACTCAACAGTAGTTAATAAGAAGTCAAAGACCACGAGGGCCGACACTTATCGCAAGATTATCAGCCAGACTCGACTGGTTTATGGAGTCGGCCAAGGCGAACCAAATTCAGAAGAAGAACTTCAGTAAGGTGATTATCAAGAAGAGCATAACGGACAAAGCGACGGCTCCGGAGAGTCTGTTCCAGGACGAGGCTTAAGCCAACCTGCTGAAAAACAGGAGAGCGTCCATTTTTCAATGTTTTTCCGAGGGGCAGAGAATATAAAATTTGTTTTTGGTGTTTGTAGACACGATCATTTTTTCCTTTGGCTTTTTGAAACGTGTGTCGTTTTGCTGCATTTACAAACACAATTGTCTTTTGCGTCATACTTTATTAAAGCTGTTTCTACATTGCCCGAAAACACTTGCTAAATAAAACGCTATAGACTTAATATGAGAAGTTACGTCAAATTTGTCTTAGCTTAAAACAAGACAATAATATTATATAGATGGATCAGATTTTATACGAATGCGGTATAATGATTTGAATTTGAAAAAAGTCAAAAACTACCTCAAAACATATATTTTTCAATTTTTTTTCAATTTTCCTGCGATAAACAAACGAATCTCTGATGGCCTCTTTATTTGATCATATATTAACCTACTATAATACCATTAGTTGAAAACAATTTATGTACTGATTTTTTTTATACAATTTAAAAAGCAAAAACATAATTAATTTTGTAGAAAAATCGAGTAGCCTATCAATTTTGTGATTTAAAAGCAGACGATAACTGCGATTTTCATTATTTTATTTTAAATTATGATACTGCATCAACAACACCTTCCAATTTCGACTACTCTACACTCATTGGTGACCACAATCTAAAATTAATTAATTTGATTCGTCTAAAGGAAAAATAAAATATGTTGTGTCATTTCTTTGTGTAGTTTATATATATACATATAAACTAGACAACAAAAAATCATATTTATACAAAAGCCAACGGTTGATTTTTTTACAAAAACTAAACTAAAATACGTACTTTTCAAATAGAAAATAAAAGGGTTGAGTCAATATGTAGAAACAAATAGTCGGAATATACTAGATAATAAATAACAATTTTATATAGTCAGTAAATATGTATTTTATTAGGTTATATATAATGATACGTTATTGGTCTTACAGTATAATAGATAAGACATATTGTATTTTGCAACAAATTATTAGGAAAATCTGAACATACAAACATACAATAATTTACATTAAAAAAAAAAAAAATACAAAAACACATTAAATATTTTGAATTTTAAGAATACAAGGAGCTGTGGTAATTCATCAAAGTAGTTTGAAGTGGTTTTAGCTGTGGTTGAAACTCAAATTTGAATCTAAGATTTAAAAATGTTTTTAAATATAGATTTTTAATATATAATATTATAAATAAAGTATTACACTAAACTCAATAGTAACAGCTAATAGTAGCATTAAGTGAGTACGTAAGGGAGGTCTAATGTTCTCAGATAAAAATACAAACATCAAAAAAGCATTGTAACTTATTTTATCTATACAAATGTATTGCCATAATTACAAATACATCGTAATTAACAATATAATGAAAACATTT